GCTTTTTTCGGACGTATCTTCTGCTTATTTGGGTAGCGGACTCTATCGAAACGAAGGATCTGCAGAAGGCGTATGGATGGGGGGAATTGTATTTCTCCAAAAATGTAATGTAAACGAAAACAATGTTGCATTTTTGTGCATAGGTGTGGAAAAAAAAAAACAAACTGTCACGTAAAGACAAAATAAGAACAGGTGTAATGACTGCATTTGGAGTGAACAGAAGAATGTCTTTCCTATTCTCATTTTTTTATATTACCTTGTTGCCTTCTCCAACTCCTCCGCGGATATGTCTTCAACACCCATTTTGAAAAAACTTAACCAAATGACTCCAAAAAAACAACAGTGAAATTTTTAACCTTTTACACAATTATTAAAAACGTTTGACATGTGTAGGCACACGAAAATGATGCTGTTCCAATGCGACATCCCACAACTGAATTGAATAATTTGAAATTATTCAACTTAAATAAATATGAGGAAAGATACGGCATATGCGAACAGGCAAAAATAAAACAATAAAAAAAAAAATAAAAATAAAATGATAGAATATATTACGAACATTTAAAAATACGGGGGAAGAAAAATAAAAAACCTTCCAAAATGAAGTGGAACGATCGGAAATAGCATAAATTCGGAAGAAATGTGGTTGCTTTGTGCAGGATGGGAAAATTTTGAGAACGCATAAGAGGTAAATGGTTTTCGTTCATTTAGCCTGAGTCAGTAAGGTGGCTGCTTTTTCTGGATATCGTGTTTCCCACATTTATTTGCGTCCGCGCTTGCCCTCCTTCCCCTGTGGTGTATAGATGCTTATTCGATGCCGCACAATTGCGTGGTACGCCTTTTCCGCTAAAATTGACGTACTTGTAAAGCCACTTAACTTAAATTCCAGTTTTTTTTTCTACTGAAAGCTTGGTCATTCGTTAAATATATGTTCATAAAATTAAAGGTGATAAAATTAAGGAAAACTCATATCAAGCTTTAAACATATTCCTTCGTCAAGGGGGTTCCAACTAAGGTTTTTAGCAAATCGAAACTTTCTCACAAGGGAACAATCTCACATTTGGTATACGCAACAGGAAGAGCAGATACGTTTTTTTTTTTGTTTTTTTTTAAAGGGGCGAATAGAGTGGTATAATAATGTGTACGACCATTTTATGCATTTTTAAATATAAATGTGAAATACTGCGAACTGCAATTTTGGAGTATTCGGATGTGTAGTGTACGTGCTTATGGGTATCATCTTACATAAATGTAACGTCACGGCGCATATGGAAGGAATTCCCTTTTTTTTTTTTTTTGTTCTTTATTGGCACACGTTGTAAATAAAAGTTCTTACCACGGATGCGTATTTTTAAAGTTGTCAATCCTATAGAAGTGTGTAAAAGATTAATAACAATATTGTTGTGTTTTTTTTATTCATTTTTTTTCCCCCCTGAGTGTAATAACTTGAAGGGAAAAAGTTCTTATGAAAAAAAAAAAAAAAAAAAAAAAAAAAAAAAAAAGCACACCCCTAAGGCGTACAGTACATAAATCTCCATTTTGCATTTAATATCATGGGATCATTTTTTACACATGAGGAAAATTTCAAATGAGTCAATTATATAAATATGTACCGTGTAGCATACGATTAAAAAAAAACGCAACATGTTGTGCATACCTTTTCTTATGCGTGTTTTGTTTGGTAGAGTATTAAGTGTACGCGCGGTAAGGAAATATTTATACACGCTCCTTCCATTTTCCACTTTTCTAAAATGGTCCTTTCGCTGAAAAACGCCATTGTTGAGGAGAAATGCGCTAAGAGTTAAGTAGAAGTGTTATCCTTTTTTTTTTTTTTTTTTTTTGTGGACTGTTAACAATCATTAATGTGCGCCTCCAGGTTGGCAAGAAAAAATGTAAGAATAAGAAAAATGTATTTAAAAAAAATACCAATTATGGATAATCTGGCAAGTGTGCCACCATTCTTGCAGTATGACACGCCCCCACCCCGTCTTTACACCCATTTGCAGGAACAATTGCCATGTGAATCTGCTTAGAGCTGTTTTTGTATACACTGTTGCGTTTGTTAAAAGTATGACATGATGCTTTATTTGTGCATATAAATTTTGTAATCATTGTCTTTCACGAGTGTGTAATTCAGGAACTTCCTAACATTTGATAATTTTTTTTTTGTACACATTAAAGTGAAGAGGGCGTGGCTCAGTCCTCGCTTGTGGGGGAGATTTAGTCGATGGATCTGCATTTCGCTCCTACACTCTTACGCATTTGCGCTTTTTCGTTTTGCACATTTTCGTTATACAATTTTTCTTTCTTTTGCGCGTGTCCAATTTTGCCCTTTGCCTTTTTTCACCCTTTGAGAAATGTAATATCGCAGCTAGCCAAAATATTCCACTACTACACATTACATTTCGCAAAAAAAAAAAAAAAAAAAAAAATTGCACTTAATATGCTGTGAATGTATATTTGCACGTGGAGAAATAAGCCGAAGCTTTGCCACGCCTCTTTTTTTTTTTTTTTTTTTTTCTTTCCCTTGGAGAGAAAAAATGGTTAAAGAACAGTAGCAAAAAGGGGCGATAAATAATCTGAAGCAAACGCCACACATCACTGTGTGTAAGGATTAATGAGAGCATACAAATGCCCTATTTTTTCTGAACATAAAAGAATTCACACATTTGATTACGTTGTCATGGAAAATGTTGGGCACACAATAGTGAAGCCTATGTGGACAGAAGAATTTAAAGCATGTCCTTTTTTTGTTTTTATTTCCACACAATATTGCTTGTCTACACGTTTTGAAATTGTCATAAAAGGCCAAAAAATAAAATTTGGACGGACACATATCCGCTTGCACATCGAGAGAATAAAAAACAAGGTAACTTTAAACAAGTGCACAGAGATACACGTGTCAATTTAACACGCTTAAGGAACTTGATAAATGTGAACATGACGGGTGCGACTGACGAGTCACCACTAAACATAGAGCGCTTACAGTCTTATGCGAAAAAATGGAAATAGCTTGTACGTATTTGCCACATCGCAAATGCAAGCAGTTAATTTTTTCTTGCAACGTTAGCAGTTGGAAGCATTTTTTTTTTCTTTTTTTTTTTTTTTATCATCGCATAGGAAAGCACATGTGTGCAATATTTTTTTAAAAACATCAAAATTGTGTGCAATTCGTTGTATTTTTATTTTATTTTATTTTTTGTTTTTTTTTACAGTTACAATTAAGGTGCTACAGTAGGAACAATGCAAGTGTACTTCTGTCGTGAGATGAACCAGAACAGGCAAAGTATTATGCGGTTTAAAAAATACTCACTGAGAATGGTGCGCTGGGCAGCTCGCAGAACTATAGAGGACAATGCTCAGCATGTTTAAAACAGCTCCTTTGTTCAACTGTAAAACAATTGCAAAGGCAAAGAAAGCAGAAAAACGAGCGGAACAAGTGAAACCACGTAATTCGTGCAGTGATGTATATATGTGACACAGGTACCTCTCCGCGTTTGTTTTGGAATTATCCTGTTTGAACATGGTGTACCACGTATAACATTACCCATGGCACTACTTCCGAAAGAATATGTGTAACATTTTATGCACCTCTTGGAAGAAGAGCGCAAATGTGTTGCATTAGTAATAATATAACGTAGGTTGTAACGCTTTTCGGTGTGCACATCGATGAGCGAAATAGCGTTTTGGAGAAGGCGGGGGGGGAGAGGCAACATTGAACGGCAAATTTGAGTGGCAAATCTGACAGGAAAAAGTGAACCACAAAACTGAACCACAAACAGGTAAGTAAAAAAAAAGTTACCCAAACGTGGCAAAAAGAACAAAGAACAAAGTAAGCACATAATAAGCCCATACTAACAGCACAAAGCGAAAAAGGGTGTGGAGTCTAAACACGTTTTAATTTTGCCAATCATTTACACGCGTAGACAAACGCGACTTGCAGAAAATCTAATCCTACTCTTACATAACCATTCGCCCCCTTCACATTGTTAAAATTATAGCAGTAATGCTTAATTTGTGACTTGAAAGCATTTTTAAGGTAACATGGAAATGCTTAAACATCCACATTAATCATTTAAATACGTTTCTTTTCATTTTTTTTTTTTAACATTTCACCACTTTTCTGAAATACATTTTTCACCTATTATTTTATTATTTTTTTTTTTTTTTTCGTAGCCCTTATTTTCATAATAACCCTTCTTTTCTTTTCCTAAAAATTCTTGCCCTTTTTTTTCTTAACACTTTTTTTTTTTTTTTTTTTTTCTTTTAAATAATTACGCATTTTTGTGAGTACTTTTGCATTATATTCTGTACCACATAAAAGAACTATATGATGCGTGAGAATGCAATGAATGTAATTTTTCTTCCTTCATTTTTACTACAAAAGCACATATTATACATACGCCCATATATGTATACACGTGTACGCAAGCATATGCATATAACATATACATATTTATTATATATAATGCCATATATATGTACGCACGATACCTATTTATGTAAACACCCACACCCATAATGCAATCAGTACAATTTTGCATACTGGTATAATGCAACATATGGGATGCAGCATGTGATGTAGTATATGATGGATGTAGCGCATTTTGTGCCTCTCTTATTATTATGCCTGCCATCTTATAACCCCTATGTACGCATAAAATGCTCATCCAAAGAACGCAAATTACTTAAGTTTTAAAAGAATGTAAACATTTATGCCATCAAAAGGTATAAAAAATTAAGTAAATAAAAAAAAAACTAACTCCCAAAAAAAAAAAAAAAAAAAAAGAGCGAGGAATATGCGAATAGGGAAAGTAACCCTTTGAACAAAGTTAACAAATAAAAAAGGAAAAAGAAATAGGAAAAAATCAAAAAGCACAAAAGAGAAAGCCCAAAAAAATGTTCAATCAAACAAAAACAAGAAACACACAAAGTTAAAAGAAAATTAGCGGATGTATTAATTAGGAAAGATAAAACGGACATACAATAGCCAAAACACCATGAATAATGCCCAAGACATAATCAATATTAATGAACAGGTTGTTAATAGATATAGGCATTGCAGGACTAATGGCGATAACGGGTGCGTTCTTCAGCATGGACCTTACCCTGTTCATGGGGCTAACAGGGCCCCTGGCGGGAATGTGTCCCGGGAAACAAGCACCTGTGTAATAAAGGCACATTCGGGTACGAGCCCAAACTTGGTCAAGCGCCTTGCCAACTTGGCAAAACACGCAGATAGTGCAAATCATGCAGATCACGCAAATTGCACAGATCGCACAAATCATACAGATACCATTTCTCGCATGCAACCACCCGACCTGCAAATGGTGCACAGCATAGCGACCTGGCTCTGCTTGAAAATATACCTCTCCTTTTATACGTATATAAGAAATTTGAGGAAACTGTCCCTTTTGCTATTGTGTGAATGCTCGGCTTATGTGGCCAAGAAGTGCAGACTCTATATGTTAAATAAAACAAACGGAAAATGTAAAGCCATATGTAGGCATGCCCTACGGACGGAAGAGGAAGAGGAAGAAAAAGAAGACAAACAGGTTTATCCTTGCAAATTAGATAGATCTGCTGGAAGAGGGCACATAAGTGACTGTCATCCTATTCAAAATAATAAACGCACACAAGTGGAAAAAAAAAATGATTACCACACCTATTTTGTTTCAAACAAGTTCAATGTATATAAATTTGTCTGCCTTGAGAAATCAGCTTTTACGTTAGCGAGAAAAGCGGACGCTCCAAACAGGGGAGATGCAGAACGCAGAAGAATACGTTACTTTGGCTGTGTTAGCCATGTGTACACGAGTAAGAGTCGTAAAACTGATGAGGGAAACAACTCCTGCACCAGTAGGCGAAGTAATGATGAGGATACATACGCAGCGAATGTAACAAGCAAAAGCCGCACTGTTGGCAGGGGACGAATCCATGTGGACACTTCCGTTCTCGTAAGCAGAAAGGGAATGTACACAAAAAGGAACATATTTAAAAAGAATAATAAAAAATGTATATTTCACGAGCAAACCTCGTTTAATGCTTTCAAGAGAGGTAATGCCATTTACCCATATGAGGTTTATAACTCTGTCCAAAATGGAGAGTGCCTCAAAGTTGAGGTAAATGGAAAAAATGAAGACTATGTTAATGAATCATCTGACGAACTTGAAGAACCACATGATGTTGTTACGTATAGCCCATTCAACCATTTAAGTGAAGGCGTCTTCGCCGAAGAGGATAAAACAGGGCACTCCTCTGTTCCTATCCAGCGTGTTGTGCAAAAAATGTTAAAGATATACGTCATGCTGCCGACCCCCCCTCGCTTTACCGAAACGGTAAGCGATTCTTACAAGCCCGTTGCCCATTGTGCAGTTCTTATGAAAGAACCATGTGATTCGGGTGAAACCATTTTGATTACCCCTTTTAATGTTTTAAACATAATTGTAAACAAGTTAAGAAGACATCATTCATATGTCACATTCGATGTATATTTTAAGACAAGAATCACATCAGAGTGTGGTAGCAAGAGGGCATATATTTCATGGGTTCGTAAAAACTCAACACTTAATTACCCGGACGGGTTAAAATTCAGCACAAGAATGCTACTGGAGATATTTTTAACCTTGCCAGTGGTGGCAGAAGAGTGTCATAAAACACGTGTCAAATATTTTCTTCCCCCGTTTTGGACCCAGCCCTCAGTTTTCTCTTCCTACACTACATCCGATAAAATTGATTCCTTATTGTTCCTCCCAATTCTGTCCCCACCTTTGAACAGAAAACGTTTTAAAAACTCAGGAAAGCGTGCACACCACATTTTAAAAAAAAGAAGAAATTGCACTAACAATTTTGGACGCGCATTTATCAGAAGCATCCAGTTAAGTGCAAAACAATTTTGCAGAAAAAAATGTTCATCACTTTCACGAAATCAGAAAATGAAATTTCGCCCAAGTGTGCTCATGATTGGAAAGAACAGAAGGAGGGAAATTTCGAAACACAAGTTGAAACGTCACAGGGCGGAAGTACTCTCCGTAATGGCGGAGAGGCCGCTCGCGAATGTGCGGAGGTTACGTGAAGACAGGATGAGCGTGACGGCGAAAAGGGATAGTGAAGCAACCAAACTGGAGAACGAAGCTCTGAAATCGGCCCGTGGCACAGAAAACCTCGTCGAAATGACCGTGTCGAGGGAGAGGGAACATCTGCCCACATCAGGACCCCGCCTTGAGCGTAAGCGTCGCTGTAATTTGATAAAAAACAAAGTGAAGATATCCCTTTTGTTACTCAAATGTTATGATATTTTTCCCGCCAAATATGTGCACGAGAAAATGCAACGTGTTGAACTAAGGGGGGTCAACTGCAGCAGAAGTGGCTGCGGGGACGTGGGTAATTCCACGATGAGAAAATGCCCAGGGGGAAGTAGCAACAGGGGAAAAACAGACGATAGTGGGAAAGGTGAGAAAAGCGGCAAACGTGGTGATAGCGGCCAAAGCAACAAACGCGGTGAAGGCGGTCAAAGCAGTAAACGCGGAAATAGCGGCAAAGGCGGTAAAAGCGGCGACAGTGGCGGTCGAAGCAGTGGCAATGGAGATGACAAAGATGATGAAAAGAACAACAAAAAGATACACGCCGATGATAAGGGTGAGAAAAACGACGAGGCGAAGGAGAACGGGAAGAAGGATAACAACGCCAACGGGGATAATGCTAACAGCGAAAAGGATAGTGGGAGCGGCGCTGGAGGCGGGACAGGAAGCGGGAGTGGCAAAGCCGATTCGATTGAAGGCGCGAACGTAGCGTCCAACGTATCCTCAAAAGGAGATTCAAAGGAAGCTGCAAAAGAAGTTTCAAAAGAAGCTTCCAACGTAGCTTCAAACGTAGCCTCAAACGGAGCCTCAAACGAAACTTCCAACGGAACTTCCAACGTCGATGCAAACGCCAAGAAGAGGAGGAGCGAGAAGGGGAAGAGCAGAAGCAGAAACAAAGGCGATCGCACAGATAGCGGGCCGCCTAACCAACCCACCGAGGCCAAGGATGAATGTGCATCTGTGAATAACGACTCCCCCCTGTTGAACAACGAAAAAAAAGAAACAGTTAAGCGCAAAAAGGGAAACAAAACAGGGAAAAGAAATGGAACTAATGAAAGAAATGATAAATATTCCCTTAACATTTTAATCGCAGAAAATGCATATAGAATTGTAAAAAATGGAAGAGTGTACAAACCAACAGAGCCAGTCAACAGCTTCCACACGCATCATAATTTTATGCTTAGAGAAATGATGTGGATGAGTATAGATTATTATGAAGAAAAAAGGTGGAAGAAAAATGTGTCCAAAAGATTTAGTTATCAAATGAATAATCACTTTGAGGACAGAAAAAAAAATGACAAATATTTTATTTCTTCGCATATATCAAATGATATTAAGATGTTTTGGTTTTTTGTACTAAACGAGGTGAGGCCTGACTTAGTCCCCGTGGACGTGGAGCATAAGGTGAAAAATAAAAATTTGCTCAAGAGAGATTTTTTTAACTCCTTTAGAAAGAATTTAAAAATGGATGGAAATAGTCCTTTCATCACTGACGTTGAAGCGAAACCCGTCGTTGCGGCCAATGCTGAAGAGTTGATTAGTCATGCCGTGGAAGACGGTGAACAACAGAGTGACAAATGTGACGACCCTTCCAATGACTCCAGCCCCAGTGGCATTCTAGGTATGGCGCGCAGCATGTTTTCGTTCAATTTTATGAATAAGAAAGAGGAAAACAGCAAAGGAAATAGCGAAACAGGAGAAACCACCAATTGTGCCAGTCGTAGGGACAACCCAAGTGATGAGCAGTGTGAAGTTTCCCCAAGTGGGAAAAATTCGCACAGTGCCCCCCCAACAAGTGATGCGGACAAAGAGCATCCACTCCCGAGCAACACCCAGGTGGATGAAAAAAGCATAGAGGAGAATCGAAATTATGAACAGCGTCTTATCCTTTTGGAGGAAAATGTAAGCAGGGAATTGTTAAACAAGCATGAGCACAATTCCAGGAGAGAGGTTGACTTTTGTGATAATTTTAGGTTGGAGGAATACACCTACCGGAGTAGTGCGTACAATTATAATGACGATTATGCAGACTACTATTCTTGTAGTACAGACTACCTTGACTTGAGTAACCGCCTGTATATTTACTGTTTGCTCTTCATGAGCATTTCGTTAATCGAAGTGAATGAAAATATTTTTTATAACAATGAAAATTTAATTAATGATGATCACGCTACGTACTCTGATGATGAACAAGAGTTGACGGTCCCGTTTGGAGGAAAGGGAAAACTGATGTTAAGGCAAAACGAGCTTAGTGATGAAGTAGACTACGCCAAACATGAGAAAAAAAAGAGAAGAAAAAAAAGGAGTGATAACAACAATTGCGGTGACGTAGCCGATGAGGCAGAGCCGCTGGAGGTGGAAGAGGCCAAATCGGGACATGAACCACCAAAGCAAGGAGACGAAGAGACCAAATCGAACAACCCCGAAAAGCAAAAAACAAGGATCAAGCTCGAACTTGTAAAAAAGGAAAGCAAGAGTGAAATGGGAGAATACGACGACGAGGTGTATAGGGAATATGCAAGGAACCACAACGACTATCAACATGTGGACGATGGAGACGACTTCGATGATGTAGGGATGGTAAACAACTACGCCGACCATATGAACCACATGGATTACTACGATGAGATGAGACATATGAATAGCAGCATGTTGACCATAGCAAACACTCCCTTGAATAGTGTAGACGTGAACGAGCTCCTCGTTATTCCATATTCCGCTTCCGACAGAATAATGAGTAAAGAAACAGGTAGTAGTAGTAGTACTGCACCAGAACAAAACATGAGCGAATGTCTAAACGAGATTAAACAAAAAAATGTCAGTGTATACATGAATAATATGGAGATATGTGGAGGAAGAACATACCCATTCGAATTCGAATATATTAACAACACAAATAACGACATTCGCCTCCCGCTCATGAACTTAACAGAGTATGATGAGTTCACCTTTTTTATGTATCTGTTTTATTTAAAAAATTCTCCATATATTTTAAAAAAACAAATGATAAAGGAAAAGAAAAAACGCAAAAGAGACTTCTCAGATGTGACCTCAGCCAAGAAAAGGACACCCAAGCGAAGATTGAACAAAGCGGAAAATGATAAAACAGTGGACATCGTAATAGAGAACGAAAAGGGTAAAGCAAATGAACAACCGCTAACAAATGCTGAGGTAGAAAACACCTCATCTTTGAATGAGATCATTAGAGCTGAGGAAAATGACCAACATGTTGATTTTTCCAAAAAGGATGACTATGCAAAGGTTGGAATTCAAAAGGCAGGGGTGAAGGATGATGGTGACGTTAGGGACAATCGTCTTGCTGAGGAGGGACAACATTCTCGAGTGAAAGATATCAGGGAAGGATCCAATTTCACGGAGGAACAGGAAGAACAAAATTTAAAAACGTGGACTAACATGAAAGAAGAGTGGACCAATGATGAAGTAAATTTTCTCCTCATACTTACAAAGACGTATATGAATTATGTGAACACCGACTGGACTCAGGTGATGGAATGTAACGGTGAGGAACAACCTCCTGTCGTTGGAAGTTGTGATAACCCCTCTGTGAAGAATCATTTAGGGGAGGCCTCCATGGAAGCGGCGTCCATTGGAGTGATGCATCTGGGAGATGCGCACAATGGAGATAATGCTTCTGCAGAACAGGGTGGAGGAAGACCCGCCGAAGTGCTAAATGCGGAAGCAAATAACAGCAATAATAGTAGCTGTGGGGGAGGAGATCAAGTGAATGTTTCGCAAAAAACACAAGGGAACGCGCCGAACGAGGAAGTTCTCTCTCCCCATGAGGAACATAACAACGCGAAGCTTGCAGAAAAGACAATGCCGCCACTGGGACAGGTGCCCCTAAGTGCCAACTACATGTACTCCATAAACTGGAACATCATATCCCTAGCGCTCGCCTCGTACAACAAAATTAATCACGTTTACCAAATGACCAGGACGGCGGAGGAGTGTAGGGACAAGTTCTTTTCTCTTTTCCAGGACAACAGCTACCTGGATGTCATGTCCAGTACCCTGCATGGTGAAAATTATGTAGATAATAAAAAAAGGTTAAAGAAGGGGTCAAAGCGGTTAAAGTTCTTGTCCATATTTCCCTCCCAAAGTGCGAACAGCTTGATAGGTTCGTTTAACAAATATATGAGCGAACAGATTGAGATACAGAAGCAGAGGGAGCAGGCGGGCAGTCATGGTGGCTGGGGCAGTGACGACAGGGGAAGCGACCCAGAGAAATTATTGACCGGCTCCGGCCAATTGGAGGAAAAAGAAAATACAGATGGAAAGCCCCACGAAAGCAAGGGTTCCAAAAATGACCAACCTAACCTTGATGAAGAATTATCAGAGGGGAACAATTCCAATGAAGAGGAATCTACCCTCTTCGACCAACCGAGGAAAAGCGAACTGTTAAGTGGAATATTGCAGCAGCTGTCTAAAGGAAGCGCCCTTCTAAACGACAAAAAGAATATGAGCAGCAAACCGAGCACCAGCTGCACCACCGAACAAAACACTCTTTACAGGATGAACGAATCGGAGGAGCAATTAAATGACACCAACTTTCTGTTTAGAAACACAAATTTATGTTCCAATTTGAGCAAGAAGGAAAGTCTATTTAATAATTTATTATCTCAAATTTCTGCAAACTCCGACGAAACTTCTGATGAAGATATCGATTGTGCGAAGGACAGCTTCTTCAGCTCCAGTGACGTGGACGATTCTACGACACTGAAATTGGATGAATTGTCTCCCATCAAATCCGACCATATGGAAAGTAGTATATTAAAGAGGAAGCGCCCCTTCGTAGGGGATAAGGATGATGAGAACCGCGAGTATGAACAGAGTGGCGATAGCCAAGTGGAAGAAGAGGGAGTTCCAAATGGTGGGCCATCATATGAGCACCCAGAAGTAGAATCTCAGAATGAACAAATGTTGGAAGGACAGGAACGTAACTCGGGGGAAAGCAGAAATGTGCAGGAAGCACAGAAGGAGCGAATACCAGGGGAAGAAAAAACGGAGGAAATAACACAAATGCACGATTCGAACTACTTGGAAGGAAACCAGGATGTTCCATCTGTTGAGAGCCAAAGGAATAGTGAGTGCTCATTTGGGGAAAGGGAAAAGGATGGAAATAAAATTGGCGAATGTGACAACGATGAAAAGAACAACTCTGAAGTTCCCGAACGGAGAAACGAACCGATTGAAGAGGGAAAGGAACAAATGTTATGCAATGGAGGGGACGAGTCATTTCTGCACAACATGGACAGTAAGGATGATATGTGCACACCAAACTTAGGCAACCACTCTGTGACCTCAAATGGGGAAAATTTTCAAACAAGCAATGACAAACACATAGAGGGAGATAACGAAGCGGCCAATTTTGCCAGCCTAAAAAAATGGCTTAACTCCATTTGTAGCAATAAAAAAAGAGTAAACGAATTTTTAGCTCTACTAAAAAATGACTATCTTGTTAAAAATAAAAAGTTTCATAAAATCATTCAGAACTTTTTAAACAAAATAAAACCTGTTGTAGGATACTATGACAATTTGTTGGACTCACTAAACAACGAAACTAGCTGTGAAATATCAAATAATGAATCCATGATGAATAATGAATTGTGTGCAGAAAAAATAGATAAAGAATTCGTAAAATTTATTAAAAAAATAATAGAATATGATAAAAGGAGAAAGAATAAAAGTATTAAAAAATTAAATAATTTAGCAGAAAGTGGTGAAATTTACAAGCTAAACGAATTTTTTATTTACTCTCCAAATGAATCTTACAATACTGTTAACGATTTTGCACAGCAGATACTGAACTATGTACCCTACGTAGATGACAAGAAAAAAATTAACATTAAGAAGGTTAAAAAGAGATTCCAATGTAAAAATTTAATTTCACAAATTCTGCTAGCCGATTATATTTTAGATAAGTTAAAAAATTTTCCAGTGAACAACTCCTTGCGGACTACTCTAAATGGTAAGGCGCTGGACAATTTGCTTTCCGAGACCAGGTTAAAGGCGTACACGAAATTTGTCAATGATAATTTACAAGAATGTGAAGACGTCGTTAAGATGGAGAAGTGCTTTGCCCAGACGTACGAAGGGAAGAAGGATGAACACCTTGTGTTCAACAGGGAAGGATTACTCAACGGGAAAATTGGAACAAATGTTAAAGTGAAAAGAGAAAATGACCGTGTGAAGGATGGTGCCAATGAGAATGAAAGTGGCCTATCCATGAACAAACAGGGGCAGGACAGGACTGACCCAATGGCGGACTCTGTCCGAGAACATAATGCCTCGCTGCTTAATAAGAATGGAAAAGTTTTTGACCATGGAGGAAGGGGAAAGGATGATACCAACGGTGCAGGGGTGTCGGGTACTATTCCCGTACGAATAAAAATGGATGATTCGCCCGCTTCGTTCAACTTTAACAATTATGGTGACAATCATAACGTACTTTTGCGCAATGCTGTGTATGACGATGCGAACATGACACCCAAAGGGGTAAACAAAGGAGAACTCGGTAGAGACAACCACCAGGGCATTGTACATATGAAGGGTAGCATGGACAACGCGAATGTTGATTCATCGCTTGATGGTCAAGTGGCAATTAACGAACCAGGAAGGGAAAACGACTACATCAGAATGAACCACCAAATGTGCGAAAGGAACAGTGACCAGTTGGTTAATCCTGCAGTCTTTAACGAGATGCCTTTGTACCAAACGGTAAAGGAGGATGAGCTCAAAAATGAAGCGGCAAAGAAGAGTATTGGGCCTCTGAATGAAACCGGCATGTACGTCGATCCCAACGGTTGCAGTGTTAGCATCAATGGGAAGAACAATGGCAAGGGCAATGGCAACAGTGGCGCCAAGAACGGGGGAAGGAGTCGCGCTAAGAGCGGCGAGAAAGGCAGTGGTAAGGGGGGAGGCAGAGGAAGCGCCAAGGGAAGCAATAAAGAAAACGGGAAAATTGTTCCTAGTGACAATATGCCCACACATAACGAACCAAACGCGATTAAAGACGAGGCGAAGACGAAGAAGCCACCCATGGCACACACGAACCCGTTCAATGGCCCCCCCACCGAAGCCAGTAAATTGGACCAACAAATACAAAACTTCACCAAAAATGAATTCTTACTAAATAACAGACAGAAATCTTCACCTATAAAAAATATAGCCAAGTCGAATAAAATAACCAAGTATAAAACTTCAATGAGTGTGTCGAATATTTCTCCAGAGTTATTTAAGAATAATAGCATCCTAAATTATTTACCAAATGGTAATAATTACCTTGCCAATAATGCACTAGAAAAAGTGCCCATGAAAAATGGTGTACCTGTGAGTAACTTGCCTGTAGGAGACCAAGACGCAAAATGTGCTGCACCCCTCGAAGGAGATGCAAGTGCAGACAGTAAGAATCGCAAACCAGATGAACAGGTACCTAGTATGCTGCATAGCAGTTCAATGCATGACATGATGATGCCTGTTCACGTGTCAAATGGACAGCATGTGCTAAGCCATGACACAAAAAACTTCCCAAACAAGAAACAGAAATTGGTAAACACCAAATATAATGGCACCCCAAGTAAAAATGCGACAATGGAAAATTTGAACAAATGTTTTATCAACCAAGCAGGCTCTCCAGTTAATGCCGTCCAGGATTACTACATGTTTAACCAGTCTCCTGCAAAATGGAACAAAGGCTTACCCAACGCCGACGGCATGAAGTCGAATGGTTCTTCGTTTTCGTATCCACAGATGCAGAATTGGGGAGACCCTCAATTTGTCAACAAGGGAGACACCTCGCCTCATATTAGTACGAACCAACAGGTACCCATCGCAAGTGCGGGCGGAGCGCATAGCTCCTCCAGGAATAGCAGCGCGAAGAACAATAACTCCAAGGGAAGCAGAACCCCCAAGAACAGCAGTTCGAACAGTGCCTTGGTGCACAGCCCTGGTAGCAGCGGAGTTAGTGGAATTAGCAATGGTCTCAGCAACAGCAGCCTCAGCAGCGGCGGGATGCCCCTGTTTGCGCGGCCAAACGGCGAAGAGGAAAAATTCGCGTCTCCCATGCACACCGCCTCACAAAGCGGCAAGTACATGCCGCCCAACGACAGCAACGTGCAGATGGGACAAATGTCCCACCTATCATCGACTTCGCAAATGTTACCAATGTCGCCAATGTCGCAGATGCCGCAAGGTAAGTCTGCCATGTATGAGCCCCCAGAATTATGTGTCAAGAATGCGACGACGCACAACCTACCGAACAGTAGCTCTAATTCGCGTCAAATAGAAGTTACGCCCAATGGGTCATGCAAGAAGATGCAACAAATCCCAATGAACAACAGTGCCCTAAGCTCAGAAAAGAAACTGTACTCTATGTATAAGGAAAATCAAGCAAGAGGAGGGGTGGTAGGATCAGCTGCAGTACAAGGGCAAACACCTTCCCCATCAATAAGTAGAATAAACGATGATGCACTCTCCATAAAGTCGGCAACCCCAAGTAACTACTCATCAGGTTATGGAACGAACCAACCAGTAATACAAGAAGCGGATGCAAAGTCAAGGATTCTACAAGAACAAATGATGAACAACCAAGAGCTGTTGAGTCCTGATCAGAAAATATTTCTCGACGCAAGCAACAAAGGTAATTCCGTTGCAAATTATAATTATGCTACCATGGCAAGGTACTCTAGCAACAGCATTCAAAATGTTAGTCCCATAAGTGGTGAAAATAGCAGATCAAATTTAGGAACTAATTATAGCCATTCGCATTTGCCAAATATGAATCTTAATTTTGTACCCTCCAATGTAATGCACATCCAGAGTAACACATCACCAAACGGTGGAATAAGATCATTGCTACACCACCCTGTACACTCACATTCGAGCTTGGTAAATATGAACAGCAACAAATTAGACAGTAATGAACCTTTGAATTTTGCGAATGATTCTTTTAATAAAAATATGAGTTGTTCAAACTTGAGTAGTGTAAAGAGTGATGGCAATGATGAAAAGAGGAACCCCTCCTCTGGTGCCTTAAAGACCGGTGCAGATGGCAATTCGCACACGTTTCAGGGCATACAGCAGGGAAAGCACCAAAGCGATATGCAGGGCACCAACCCCGAGAACCACAAAGCGCAGGCGAGTTACGTGAATAGTAGTAGCGGTGGCGGCAACGGAGTTAGTAACAACATCAGCAACGGTAGCGCCGGTTATGTAGATCCCGGCGCCCTGCCCACCCTTCAACAGCCCCACATGCATATGAATGACCCGCAGAACAATTACATTTTTAATGGCAACGAAAAGGACCAGAATAGCGTCGCAACCATGAGTCCCCAAGGGTCGAAGGCACAGGGATTCAGCCAGCCAAATCAGCCAAGTCAGTCTGGTCAACCGAGTCAAACAAATCAACCAAATCAACCGAACCAGCAGAATATTAATTTGAACAATATGAATGGCCAAACTGCGAAGTACCACAGCGCAAACTTGCCAAATAGGAAACAAGGAGGAAACGTTCATTCGTATGCCAACCAGATGAACTTCCTGCTCCAAGTGCTGAATAAGTTAAATGCCAACTCGAAAGGAAGTACTTCGCCAAACGGTAACCAGCAGGGCGTGGGAAAACCCGCTATGGAGCAGCCCCCTGCGAATCAGACGAGTGGCAGCCAGATGGCAATGAACCAACCGAGCATGACTCAGGCAAATATGACGGCACCTGTTTTGGGCCATGCAAGCAGCAGTGTCGCTTCACCAAATGGGAACAGGAGCCTAAATATATCCCCATTCCATTCGCCAAATATGAAAGGAAAAGGCGTCAAGCAACCATTCAGCGATAGTAGTGTAAACAGCGTTAATATGATGAGCATGGGAGCCAAGGGGAACATGCCAAAAAACATGATTCAGAAAATGTCTACAAAAAATACGTTCCCAGGGCAAGATATGATTCAACAAAAGTTATTACAACAGCAAGAGTTACTGCAGCAGGAATTATTTCAGAAGGCATACAGTGAGAAAGAAAATCAGTCAAGTACACCACAAGGAGCATTTCAGGAAATGCATAACCAGTGCCCACGTGACAACCTAAAGCAGAATGACAAAGTGAGGCAACAGAAATTGCTTCAGAAGCTCCAGCAGGAGCAAATACAGAAGCAGCTTCAGCAGCTACATTCCCAGCAGCATTTCCAGGTTCACCAGATGCAACAGCAGGTGCATTCGCAGCAGATGAATTCACATAAGGGACCGTCACCACTGAAGGCCCAGCAGTTGAAGCAGCACTTGCATGCACAGCAAATGAACCCACAACAAATGAGCCCGCAGCAAATGAGCACACAGCAAATGAACTCCCAGCAGCTACACCCACAGCAACTGCACCCCCAACAGTTACAGCAAATTCAAATGCAGAAGCTTCAATACCAACAGCAGGAGTTGAAGAAACATATGGAGCAGCTGCAGCAAAAGATGCCCCTGTCGCAGCAGAAGTTACATCAACTATATAATATGAAACAAAATATGTTGTTAAGTGAAGAAAATGAAAAGAAAAACAAACAGAGGCAAATTAGCTTTCCCCTAAATTCGCACGTACCTAGCATGCACAATCTGCAGCAACTGAATAAAGGCGAAGAGCTTCACTCGAAAGAAAATTTGAATAGCAATATGGGCGGTAGCGTCAGTGGCAGTGTCAGCGGCAGCATGAGCGGAAGTATAAGCGGCGGAATGGCTGGCATAGGAAGCATTGGAAGCATGTGCGGAAGCAACATGGGCAGCAACTTGAGCGAAAATGCCATGTACATGATAAATAGGAAGATGTCAAATAACCTGAGCAAGCTGAATAGCGGGGACCACTTTTTTTCGTACGACTCATTTCAGCAGTCGCTACCCCCGAGCAAAATTGAAGTAAAAGACATGAGGACGCATGACGGAAAAAATATAAATGAAAATAACATGTTGTTAAACCTATCCCAAGCAAGAGACATGTGTAGTAATAATGTGCCTCCTCGGGTTGTGCCAAACAATATGACTCCATATATATCTCAGAACTCTCCATTTAAAATGAATCATCATAATAAAAAAAACATGAACAATAATCAGCAGCAGTAGAGCAAAAAAAAAAAGATATGAACTTTTGCCAAACGCGTTTGATTCGTAGGAATGAGAAGCGCGCTCCGTAAGAAGCGTTTATGTATACCCATTCGATCGGATGAATATGCTTTATGTAGATGCTTGTACACACTGAACGGTTTAGGGAAGAGAATAACGATCCTTTGGTGTTTACTAGATGCTCAACTGGTGTTAACCATTGGACGGAGGACGCAATGTACCGGGTAATGTGTTGTGTGTATTGCAAGAAGGCGCCTTAACGATTTGTACTTGCACAGACGTACACGCACGTGCACACATTTATGTCACATATGGTGGCTTTATTTTACCCCTTTCGCACGCGTGGTCGACCACATGCAGCTATCAAATGAATGGGGCACCACGCCACGCGTCATAATAGAACAAAAAAGACGGAACCTCGACTTTAGCGTGCCGAGAAAAAGGGGGTCTTTTTTTTTTTTTTAAATTTTGAACAAAGAGAAGGGAAGAGGCGAGCATATTATAAACTTTCATCTTTTTTTTTTTTTTATTTCTTAATGTAGCCATTATCTTTAAAATTTGTTTGACTATTATGGCCACAAAAAAAAAACAAAAATACTTGTGTAGCAAAATCGTGTGCCCCAACTGTTTATTGTTTCCGAACACTTGTGCCCTTTTCAAAAACTGGATGTCATTTTTGTCGTCTCTGCGTTTCGCTGCGTGTATGTGTACGTATATGTATATGTATTTATATGCGTGTTTATGTGTGTACATTTACCTGTAGCAGTCATGTGCATTCTTCGCCACCTTGGGTACGGGGCTTCACACCGCTGCCTACACCTGTAAGGTGTTTACAAAAGAAAGCCCGTATGAATTAATGAAGCCATAATAGAGACATTCTCATTTCCTTCGTCCTTCTTTTTTTTCCCACCCTCACGTTGATTATATTTAAAGCGTACTTTTATTTTTTAATTTACATTTTTTATTCCCCCTTTTATTAATTTTTCCCTTTTTTTTTTTTTTTTTTTTTTGTTTTTTAAATAAAAAATTTTGATGGCGAAGCCATTCGTCGCTTGTTTTTAAAATCTTTATGAATGGAAAAGGAAGAGAGACACATTAAAGACGAGACAAATAAAACAAGAGAAAGGTGCGTCACAGAAGTGGACATAAATGAATGCGCCGACATAATCCATACGAATCATTACCCTTGAAGGTATGTACGTATAAACGGTCACAGGAAAAAAAAAAAAAAAAAAAAAAAAAAAACTGCAATCCGCTTGGCAGTTGTGTCTGTCGTTCTAATCTATATATACACGCTACGCAAAATGGGGAGCATTTTTCCCCTTGAACGAACATTTGCTTTTTTGTGTGTAGTTCCAAAAAGCTGTAAAAAAAAAAAATGAACATGTGATAACCTGTATGGTGGAGAACTCACGGTGTAGCCGCAGGTGTATATATAGACGATTTCATATTTGTACGTTTATGCATGCCTGGAGAACCTGTTGTACCAATTAATATATCACTCTGCGATAATGCGCTCATAGTGTTTAAGTAAATGGTCTTTACATGGGCTCTCCAACGATGTTGCATTGTTTGTAATTAAGAAAAAGCGGCGTGGTTTCACCATAGCAGCGAGGCATACGGCATTTTACGGTTTCAACCGCATATATCTATGTAGTTACATATATATACTGTTGGGTCATTTAAATTGGTGGAGTGAATGTTTGCTTCTCGGTGACCGCCCAGGAGGATGATCGTGGAACGCTATAGAGAATAATTATTTATGCGCTGCAAACGAAGTCCTGTTATATGCATTTTTTTTATTTTCTGTATAATTGAAAAAATTAATACCTGCATTTTTGAAAGGTGTGCCCAGAATATACTGGAGACGGCAAAAATGGAATTAACCCGTTTGTAAGTTGCGAAGTCGCTACCTAAGTTGTTGCATATGTCGCCAGTAACCGCTACTGCTGCGCCTCATCACGACCAAACGCCGAACAAAACATGCGGCAGTATTTTGCTAGCGGAAAGGAAAAAAAAAATTTTGTAAACCATAGTTTTTAGTTGCGATCAAGGAAGAGAAGCCATCAAATCAGGCATCTGCTATTCGTTAATACAAAAAAAAAAAAAAAAAAAAAAAAAAAAAACGCAATAACACAACAGGACGGAGGTTAACCCAACTGTGGCGCAAGAAGCATGATCTGGGGTGAAATAATTGCAAGCATGTTACAAACGAAAGCTGGTGTATAGTTATGCGCCCCTGCTGAAACTTGAAGGGCAAATTGTTGACTTCCCTTTTTTGCATTAAATCATACCGAAGCCTCCCTTGTTTTGTACATACAGGGTTAAGGAACGGAACTGTGGAGGGACCATAGGCGCATAAGATCCGCCGACCATCTACCCACGATTCGCGTACCTCCCGCTTAGGAAAACAAGTCCCTCAACAAAACTGCGAACGCGTTGGCATGCATCTCATTCGCGCACGTAGAAGCAGGAGGCAGCAGCATCCCCATTAAAATATCAACACCCGTAATAACCAAAACAAAATGGGAGAGGCAGCGGAGAAGGCCAAATGCCAAATAGAACCAGAGAGAAAAGAAGCAGTGATAGATACATCAAACTGGCCACTCCTGCTAAAGAACTATGACAAACTGAACGTGCGAAGTTCCCACTTCACGCCCCTACCAATGGGAAACTCTCCCTACTCGCGCAATTTAGAAGAGTACTTAAAATATGGGATCATCAACTTGGATAAACCCAGTAACCCCTCCTCACATGAAGTAGTTTCTTGGATAAGAAAAATTCTAAGGTGTGAAAAAACAGGACACAGTGGTACCTTAGACCCCAAGGTGACGGGTGTATTACTCGTATGTTTAAATAGAGCAACTAGGTTGGTAAAATCGCAGCAAGAATCAGGAAAGGAATATGTATGTGTATGTAAATTTCATTCTAAACCGAAAAGTCTTGAAGAAGTAAAGCTAGTGCTAAATAACTTCCACGGGGCTATTTTCCAAAGGCCTCCATTAATCTGTGCAGTTAAAAGACAATTAAGAGTGCGCACGATTTATGATTCAAAATTGTTAGATTATGATGATGGTAATAATGTATGTGTATTTTGGGTCAAATGTCAAGCAGGAACATACATAAGAACGTTGTGTGAACATATAGGTTTGCTTCTAGGAGTAGGGGCCCACATGCAAGAATTGAGAAGAGTAAAATCGGGAAATATGACAGAGTACGATAATATGTGTACTCTACATGATATTTTGGATGCCCAACATGTGTATGATACAACTGGGGATGAAACCTACTTGAGGAGAATTATCACCCCCCTAGAAAAGCTTCTCATAAATTTCCCCAGGATAGTTATAAAGGACAGTGCAGTGAATGCCATCTGTTATGGTGCTAAGTTAACCATTCCTGGAGTTTTAAGATTCGATAATAATATTGATGTGAACTCTGAGATTGTGTTAATGACGACCAAAGGTGAAGCAGTTGCTTTGGCCATTGCTCAAATGACTTCAAGTGTCATTGCCACTGTTGACCATGGTGTTGTTTCTCTCACAAAAAGAGTTATTATGGATAGAGACACGTACGATGTGAAATGGGGTTATGGTACCAGATCTATGGAAAAAAAAAAATTAATCCTTGCTGGCCTCCTTGATAAGTATGGAAAGCCCAACGACAAAACACCTCTAAGTTGGATCAAGAGTGAAGGCTACGTTCCCAAACTGGTTGGCGATACGGCCATTTATACGCTCAACACGGATGGCAGTAACAACAATGAGGTACCAGAAAATGGGAACAATGTGATGGGTGAAAATAACCCCGTGGGGGGAAGTTCCGCTTTCAATTTAAGCGATGGCGAAAGTAAAAAGAAAAAGGACGGTGAAGGGGTGCAGGAAAATGACAACGCGGATGAGCAATCCGACTCGGGGGTAGTGAAAAAGAAGAGGAAAAAAAATTAAGTCCACTTAACTGACGAGAGTAAAGCATGTAACTTTCTCGAGGGACACACATCTGCGTCTGTCCCTAGAGGTGCAACCCGATTTAACGCGTTCCTGAGGGGGAACCCATTTTTCAGTAATGCCTCCGCGGGGATCGTTAGGAGTTTTTTCCAAATGGCGCATGGGCACCTGTGTATATAAAGATACACGCGTATGTATATGTGCCTTTGCAACAATTTTTTATGTGTTACATGTTTGTGTAGTCATGAGAGGCCTAACTGGTGCCGCGTTGCTCCTATATCTCATTGTGTTTTGTCCCTTACCATGCCTCCCTTACATCTCGCGTTCATTTCTCTTCAAGTGTACCCCCTGTCGCTTAACCTTTAAGACACACACAAAAAACAAAACTTCATTTTGAATTTAAACCATTTGAACCGTAAATATAGCAGACAACGAGCAAGGTGACCCTCTCGTCGTGCCGCAAAAGGTCACTAAAATTTGCGCTTAAACAGGGGTTCACACTTGCACCTCTTTTTAGGCAACCGTTTTGCCAAGAACGTAAGATGTTACACATTATCCACGGGTAACAGAATAAGTAAATAATATATCAGATTTAATCGACGCCCCGCTTCTCACCCCCGCGGTTCCTACGTCTTGCCATATGACCCCTTTTTTTCTGCGTCCATAAGCGTGAGGCTACTCCCCAGCGGCAGTGCCGACTTGATTCAAAACTTTTAAAAAAATTTCACCTAGGTTCTCAAAAAAAATTCGCACAAAATCTGCAGTTCGAGATGAAACGAAAAAATTGTACAAAATATGCCATTCCTTTAAAGGGGGCTTACGCAAAAAAGACAAAAAAAACAAAAACAAAAACAAAACCAGTGTCTTACTGCCCATTTATTCGCGCCTTGTTCATTCTGCCATGATCGCGCCATGGACACCCATGGTGAAACGTTATGACGTGCAAAGGTACATGTGTCTCCATATATACACATGCGGAAGTAACGAAGAAGTGTACAAATATGGAGGCTCCTATTTACCATCCCGCAGACCTGCCTCTCCTCCATGCTCTAATGTACCAGAATAGGGAAATACCGCTATATTCAGCTAACTCTTAACTACACTTTTCAATAGCTGCATAAAAACGGGGCCACTGATTACAGCACTATACTCATGCTTCAATTGGATATTCATATGGGTGTTCAAAGGGAGACACTCCTTTTGTTGATTCTCTATGGAACACTATGCCAGTGGTCCATGCCAAAGGGAAGAAGAGGAGGAGTGCCCTCTTCACAATTTCAGCTCGCCTCCTCCCGGAACCTCCTCACTTGTGTGCCTCTTTTATTTTCCCTTTCTTCTTTTCAGTACCTTTTGCGTCTTCCCCCTGCAACCCATGCTCTTTTCCCTTCTTGGTTTTGCTCATCCCCTTATCCTTGGCCTTGCCAGTGTGTTTATCGTGACCTCCCTTGCTGCTATCCCCCTGGTGACTATTCCTGCTCCCTTCGGTTGGTTCCTCATCTAGTGGTGCTTCCTCAGCAGATTGTACGAAGCTGACTTCGCCCTTTTTCTTACCTCGTGGGTCCTCCACAGGGCTGTCCCCCTCTTCAAATCCTTGTATGGTTACCTTTTTCCGTGCGCCCCTCCCGAACACGACGTTCCCAATATTAGGGTTGCTGCTAATGCTGGCAATTTCCGCGGGCACGAGTTTGATGTCCAAATGCAATTTTTTATAATTCGCTTTAGCTCTGTTTAAAAATTGATCAAAGTAAGGAGATAATAATCTACGGAATTCCACATCAACAAGAGATAGCAAAATGGTTTGTGTGTCTAAAATGACATTTGCAGTTCGTCTGATATTTTTTATTAAAGCTATTTCTCCAAAAAAATCTGCCTTTCTAAGGGTCGACAGAATAAGTCTATTTTTATTAATTTCGGAATTTTTTTCAACAGTGGCTAGACCATTACATATGATGTAAAACTTATCATCATGTGTATTCTCCTTTATGATGGTATGGTTAGGTTGGTAATGCTCAACCTTCATTGCGTAGGAAATATTTTGAAGTGTTTCCTCTGGGAGGTATCTCAGAATGGGTACATTTTTCAGTAAGGCAAGAATATGCAAGCAGTTTTGTTTTCTTTCTTCTAGCATGTCTTTTAAGTGGTCGTTATAGGATGATCTGTCTAAGATCCAAACAACAGCATTGTCGGAACATATTTTTACCTCATAATCTGCTGGTGTCCCTTGAATAGCTTCGTAGCAGCCGTATAACTCCTCATTTTCAATCTCTCTAATCACAGTTTCAATTCCAAAAATGTTGTGGCTAATTATGTTTGCAGTACCCTGGTACAGGAATATAATAGGCGCATCATTGTCCCCTTGTTTGGTTACAACATCTCCAGACTTCATAATCTTACGGTTCATTAATGTTGCAAAGAATTTTCTCTGGTCCAATGTTAAGTATTTAAAATGTATATCAAGCTGCAACAGTTTTTCCAATTCTTGACATTCATTAGAACAAGATTTATGTTGACACTTATTTATTATTATTGGCTCTTCGTAATTTATCTTAAAATTTGTTTCCATCACTTCGGTACTCATTTTTATGAAGTCTGCTTCATTTGCTTGGAAAAAGTGAACAACCCGATTTAGCAGTGACTTTTTCTCATTGTAAGCTACGTAGGCTTGTTCTACGAAAACTTCTCCATTCAGAATGCTAAATACAACTTCTAGGGGGATTTGCTCCTCATTCATTATGTTAATCTCATCCCAAATATTTTTTATATTCGTTTTACTCAACCCTACGCTATCGCACACTAGTTCGAAATTGGCAAAACTGCAAAGACTATCATCCTGGGCGTTGAACTGAGGAACTATCTTCTTAAATGCTAACAAACTACTTCCGTACACTTCGCACAGACGTAAATTGAGTGAGTACATGTCGATGTCCTCGTCTCTGTACATACTTATGTAAAACTGTGTCAATGTTAAGATGCCCTTTCCATCACAAAGGTACTTGAACAAACTTTCCATATTGTCCCTGCCTTCAAATAACTCTTCCAGATTTTGAGATGCGATAAAATTTAAGAAGTCGTTGTATTTTATGTATCCAGTATTGAATTTGTCTATACATTCATAAAAATGAAAAATGGAATTGTATTCTGAGCAGATAAGCCTCATTAGCTTGTTCACCATTTTGTCTACCTTCAGGTCGGAAGAGTTGGGTGGATTGATCTTTTTTTTTAAAATGCTTGAAGATTTATGTTGTATGGAACTTTGCTTGTTATCTTTCGATTGGCTTGCGTTTTCCTTCCTGTTTGATTCATGGTTTAGGGTTGTCATTTTTGCCTCCTCCACTGGTGCACCGCCCTCTTCCTTCTCATCCCTCTTATTGCCGCTGGGTTGATCGGGGTTTAATTCTTCCTTTTCATTCTTTTCTGGGAGTAATACTCCCTTTTTCTTCATCAAGGCTTTCATTTTTTTCTCCTCCTTCCGTTTTATCCGTTCGAACACCTTCAATTCTTTAAGCTTAATTTCTTGTATTTCTTGCTTCTTCTCCTCCTTAATTTTGCTAATCCTGTCTTCGTTGCTCACAATGCTTAGGCTACGGTTGGTGGAGAGGTTTATGGAGCTTCCATGTTCGACTTCGTTTTCATTTTCCGCATGGGGGCGGTCATCCGTGTCTTCGTCGTTTGCGTTACGACCTTTTAGGTTTCTCTTCTTCTTGTTGCGCTTCTCCTTCTTCAGCTTGGCATTTATCTCTTTCTCGAAACTGAACATCTCGTTGTTATCGTCTGAAATGCTGCTGAGGGAGCTTCCGAGTTCCGGGATCTTCATCGACACAGAGTGCATATCCTCGTTAAACTCACCATTACCATACATGGACTTGAGCCACGGCGGCAGGCTGTAATTCTTCGTGTACCTTACATCAGCTTCCTGTAGCAGCTCATTAAATATTATTCCAAAGTGCTCAATAAAGGAATCTTTGTCAATGGCTAGTAGGAAGCAATTCGTGTGAGCCTCACAGGTAGCTGTTCTCAGCTGATTATTTATAATGGACAATTCTCCAAAGTAATCGTACTTGTACAAGTACACAGATTTTGTTCTTCCACCCCTGTGTGTAGATTCTTCCTTTTGGTTGTTATCCGTATTGTGCAAATTGTTCATATGCTGAACATCTTCCACCTCTTTGTCGTCCACCTTAACGGACACGATTCCCTTTTTAATTATGTAAAAATGGTCAGGGGTGTCGTTGTGCCTTATTATGATTGTTCCCTTTCTGAAAAATTTAAAATTGAAATGTTTCGCACCATTGTACATCTGGTCGTTATTTAAATTCTGAAGCACATTTACCTTCTTTAGAATTCTTATGACTTTTATTACAAAGTCGTTGTCCTTCTTCATCATCACCTGGTTGTTTATACTCTTTGTTAGCTCATCAGTGTGATTAATATCATTTTTTTTGTTGAGTGTGTCGATGAAGGGTGCAAGGAACTTCTCATACAAGGATGCTTCTAACGTGTACAATTCTGTGTCTACGGAGGCCACTGCAATGAAGGAGGACTTTGTCTTATTCAAAATTAACTGATGACCAAAATATTGATTTTGCCTAACTGTGGATATTTCCTCATACACATTTTTGTACTGATTAAATTGCTGTACGGATATCTCTCCTTCTTTAACAAAGTAAAATTTGTCAAACAAATCCCCTTCCAATATAAGGTGCTTTCCTTTGGGACATTTTTCCCACTTGAGATTCTTAAGAAATGTTTCTTTATCCTTCATTTTGTTTAGGACTTTTTTTAATACCTTAACCTTCATCAAATGGGATTCCATTTCTTCCACAAAATATTTCTGTTCTGTGTTGAAAAATTTTAGTAAAATTTTATCCAAGTCACTGTAAAATGAGGTCATGTTGCTTTTGTTGATGTATTCTACATCCAACGTGATGTTGTCTTCTGAGAGGGTTACTGAGGAGAAGTCTCTATTTAGGCTACCAACTGTGGAGAGCTGATTTGTGTATTTTCTTGAACTCGACCGTTTGACCTCAATCAACATTTTGTCTCCATCGGAGGGTAACTTCTGCAGCATGTTTCCTGCGTTGGGGCGATTCTCTCCATTGTTGTCTACCTGAAGCGTCGCCCCTTCCGCTGCTATGTTCCCACTTGAGTAATTCTTAATGATGTGCTGAATGCCATGCGTGTAATTGGTTCGGAAATATTCCACGAATTCTTTCACGATCTGTTTATTCAAGAGGGAAAGAAAGTACTCTCTCGAAATACAGTAGCAGTGAGCTACATCTGACTCGACCACCGCGTCGCACGTTCTCAGAGTGTTAAATATGAGGGCTACTTCCCCAAAAAAGGAGCATCTAGAAATGACCCTCACCGGGGTGCTCATCACACTGTTACAGTAGAAATGTATTTCCCCTTGTTTCAATATGTAAAAATGGGTAGGATCATCATGCTGTCTTATAATAACTTTTTTTTTTTTATATGTACATTTTTGAACATTCATGGATAAGCTTTTCTTTAAGGCGTCTGGTAAATTTCTGATGATGGGTACGTCATCGATAATGCTCATAAATTCTTCTGAAACTTCTCTTTTCTGTTCCACTAGCTTTACAAAGTCGCTGGTATATAGCTCCTTATTTATCTCAATCACAGCAACATTTGTGTGTGCCGTGTAGGAGCGCACGTTGGCCCTGTCGATCACGTTGATGCTGTTTATGAAGGAGTTAGGCTCCGTGGTGTGTCTTAAAATTCCGTTCAACAGGATAACGATGGTGTTGTTTTGGTAAGAATTGCCTGTTGTTTCCCCGTATGATATTTCCTTTTCCTCTTTTTTTCCAATTTTTATGTCTCTCTCCCCCCCTAGGGATACAAAATCGTGGCCCTCTTTAAAACATTTTTTTTTTAACTTTTGTATGAAATTTTTTATTTCATTTTTATCCAAAAAGTTGAAAGGGGTGACATGATTCAACACTTGCGTCAGAACCTCTATTTCGTCTACTGTGAGCGGCTGTGTTGAATCCTTTTCGCTTAAGTTGTTTAGTAAGCGAGGGCAGATGGTTCCTCGCAGCCTGTTTTTGTGGATGCATATGGAATCCGCCTCCTCCTCTTCCTTGGTGTTTATTAGCTTGGTTTTAATTTCTTTTATGCCTTCCTCCGTTTCGTGGCTCCCTACGGTTATTTTCCCGTTTAAGAACCCACAGAATACTTTGTAGTCCAGCTTGTCGTACTCCAGAAAGGGGGCGAAGCTCTTCCATAAAGCCAGGCAGTGGTCTACATGTATTCCTATGTTGTACATTAGGCACATGAAGATTTTTTTGCTGATTGGGGGAATTGTGCCCACGTCTTCCAGCGAGTCCGGTTCGACTTCCCTATCCACTTTGGCCAAGCTGCTCACCTTCCGCTCGTAGAAGCAAACCCGGTCGGAGTGCTTGTACCTGTACTTATGCCTGGTGAACAACTGGAAGGAGTCAAGCTGCAGATCCACGTCCAGATCTGCCGCCTCCTCCTCATCGCTCTGGGAGCTGCTCGTGTCATCTTCATCCCTCTCGCTGTTGCAAGTCTCGTGGTTGATTATCAATCCCCTTTTCACTGATCCGTAAATTTCCAAAATCCTCCGTTTTATTTTAGAAAAGGGGCACTCAAAGCCCTCAAAATAAAAGTACAAATCCTTCAACTCGATGGCAAAATTGAAATCGTCCAAAGAAAAATACTCCTTGTAGAGAGACAAATTGTGATTAACATAATTGTATCCATCATCCGGGGGTGATCTGTTCTCTCGAGTTTGGTCAACAAGGGGGTTTACAGCGACGGAAGCGGGTGCCCTGTGTAGCTCATTTTTGTTATAATCATTTTTCTGAGTTGGGCCCGTCTTTTGAGGATTATTTTCTTCCCCCCCGCTTGGCTCCCCCCAAAATTCTAACGTCTGCAATACCTTGTTCTTATTCGTGTAGTACACATAAAACAGGATAGAGTAGTACAAGCAAGTTACATCCTCCTGGGAGTAACAGTACTTTTCCATTTTCTCATTCTCAGAAAAGAAATAAATAAACTCGTTCAAGCTGATGTACAAGTTATTTTTCTTCTCCACAGATTTGAAAAAGGTCTTTAAGTTATCAAAAGATTCGTTGATATGAATATAAATTAAATTTTTTTTCTGCATGGAAATAAAGTTGTATTTATGTAAGTCGTCTTTCATATCCCTTTCCACCTCCAGATAGCGAAATATGTGTTTTAAATAAATGTATCTCTTCCCCTTGTAGTTCTTGTCCATGCAGTTAAAATGGTATGTGCATGTGTCTTTTGATATTCCCACTATATCACAGAAATTAACAAAAGAGACGTCGAAAATTTTGTCAAAGTTGTTAATGTCTTCATCGTGGAAAAGGTTAATTAGGTTTATCACCCCACCTTCCAGAAGACGACTTTTAAAACTTTCGTAATTTTCATTATTCAAAAAGAGAATCTTGTGGTATAGTGTTTTTAGAGAAGAGCTATTACTGTTATTGCATATGTACTCGTTAATGTTTTTTAATTCCACTTGGCTTAGGTGTACTTGTTTCTGTGAACCTCCTTTTTTCACTTTCCCCTTGACAGAAAATTTATCCGCTTCGAAGTAGTTTTTTAAAAGGTACTCTAATATATCTGTTGCCATTACCTTGGCGTTGAAAATTTTATTTTTGTAATCCCTCACTAGGTTAATCTTGCTATGCACAATTAGGTTCATGAAAAAGGTGTACACATTTTTATCGTGAACATGAAGTATCTGTCTGAACGCCTGAATTTTTACATTAGCATATTTGTTGTTGTCGAAGAGATCTTGTTCGGAATATTCGCTCCCCGATTCGAGGAAATTCTCATTGTGGAACGGCTTAAGGGGTGGTTCCTCACTCTTGTCGGTTGCACGGCTACTGTGCGTGCTTTCACGGTCTTCGAGAGATCCACCCTGATCATCATTTTTGGCGAGTTCATTTTGGTCGCACTCTTTATTAGGATCCTCTAGAACGTCATCTTTTTGTGGCTCCCCCCCATCGCTATCTTCCTCCGGTGCACTTTCGCCATCTCCCATTTGCGCATCCCCCTCCGGCTGTATCAATTCTAACGCGCCCGCACCCCTCATGGTGTTTATCCTCCTAATATCGTCTAGGGCAACCGAACCGCTGACGATAATCTTGTCCTCAACGCTTAGCCGCTCTGAAACTTGCGCCACCGCACCTATGCGCATTTCACCTCCACCCTGATTGATATCCTCCTCTGGGTTATCTTCTCCCCCCATGTGATCCTCCTTCTCCGGTTCACTTGACAAATTAAAAAATTGCTTCTTCTTCCCATCTTCCGCATCCACTGAGTTTGTAGCATCTGATTCGGCGTGGCCTAAACTGAATTCTTCACGATCATTTGCTTCTTCTTCACTTTGGTTCATTTTTCCTTCGGTGGGTTCTACATCGAATGACTTACTTGACTTTATGGACTCTACGCTACCTTGGCTGCTATCCTTTTTACTCACATTCGATGCTCTCCTCTCCTTTTGAGGAGACTCCCCAATAAGACTACTTCGACTCCGTTCATTCATCGAATGGGTAGGAGAAAACAAACCTTCTACATTTTTACTGGTCATATTTTTTTCCATTTTATTTTTGTCTATATTTTTAATAGTATTTATTAACACCCCTAGGGAGGAGTCATGTCTCCTGGGATGCTCTTCTCGCATGTAGAATTTTTCTGAGATATCGTCATTTTTTTTTAAATTTTCCTTCTTCATGTTTTCCTCTTGGCTCTTATCACTCGGTTCGATTTCCATTTCGATTTCCATCTCTCGGTGGTTTTGGTTTTCCTCTTCGCCCGCTTGGTTCTCATTGGTGGGTGGGTCTCCGTCTACTTGGCTCGTTCGCTCTACTTGCACTTTGCGCGCTCGTTCCTCTTCCCTTTGTTTCTCTCTCTCCATTTTCCTCTGCTTTTCTTTCTCCATTTTCCTCTGCTTTTTTCTCTCCATTTTCCTCAGCTTCTCATTCTCCATTTCTGCTTTTATTTTCCTCTGCTTCTCCTGCACTTCTTTTATTTCCCGCTGTCTTTCCCGTTTGGATTCCCTCTTTTTTTCCCTTGTGGCATCCCCCTCCTTGCTCCCTGTGGCTTCGGCCCGCTTCTCACCAGGGTGATCACTCCTGAGGGTGCTCTCCTCAGAATGGTGACTTCCCCGCCTTGCATCATCCTCTAATGTAACGTCATGATACTGAGTACTGTCCTCCTCCACATAAGCACTTCCCCTTTTTTGGTTGGCCTCATCTTCATGGAGCCTTTTCCCCTTCTGGCACGATTTAGTGACTCCCCTTTTTCCATTTCCTGGAGTCCCTTTATTAGCGCACTGTGCAGTGTCACCATGTTGGACATTTAAAATGTGCTTGTTAAAAAAATTAATAAATTTGTCTTTGCTTATCTGGTTTTTACATACACTCTCATTTTGTACGAAATACTCGTAGATGTGTTTGTATTTTACGAACTGATAAATGATTTTTCGCTTAATGTAGAGGTTCAATTGGTCAATATTTTTGTTCCCACAGAGGAGGTTGTTCCTAGGATTGTCACTTGTTTGTAATTTTTGTTCCTGCCCTCTTAACCATTCACGCAGTGCCTCCTTGTATTCCACACGATTTAAATACAATTCGTTCTTCAATTTGTTGCTGTCCTCTTTTTTTTTTTGGCTAGCCAGTTGGCGTCCTCCCGATTGCATCATTCGATCTAGTTCCTGCTTCCTCATGCTTATTAATTTTTTTATTCTAAAGTAGTATACTTCATTTTGCATGTCACCTTCGAGCTCGGCCACACTGGCATCGTGTTCGTCTTGTCTGAAGATCTGTTCATATTTCCTTTTCTAATTAAAAAAAAGAAGGAACAATAAAAAATACAAAATGTGCATCATTTATGCTATTACATAACTAGTCCTATGCAGGATATTCCTCATCAAAATACATTTTATGGAAATATTCCTCCCCTCAGTCGAGCCCATGTGGACTATTTGCTCCTCAACAGAAGGGACCACTCATGCATATATTTATCTCTATTCAGAGGAACACACAAAAAGGGACACTTTAATCTTCATAAGTAATTATGCAACATTTTAACATACGCAAAAATGGACGCCTTTTTTATTTTTCAGAATTGACCACGTTGATTTGAAAAATTAAGACAAATAGCACTCCCAATAGTGTTAGATCAGCATCATATTGTTTCAAAAAAAAAAAAAAAAAAAAAAAGCAAGTAAAGGTGTAAAAGACATTTGGGCACCACATGCAGAGAGGTGGGGGGAGGAAAACGAATAGTCCGAGCGCCCTTATAATGAAAATAACGTAGAGGCGCAAAGATTTAAGGAGGATTCACCAAGCGGTAAAGCAGTGATGATAGTAATTGCTTTACCGTTTAGACCCCTTTTTTCTAATGAATATTGAATACACCATGCAGCTTGTAACTTTTCATACATGTGGGCATACCTCGAAGCAACCGGCGTCCTGGTCCAGCTCCCTAATCCGGTTCCACGATTGGGTCAACATTTGCTCGTTATGATCAATTTTGGAGCTATTTATTTTACACATGCGGTAAAAATTTGGTGTGCTAAAATCAGACAGGTAGTTGTAATATTTTTGGTGTTCCTTCCTTGAGACAAGTTCGTCCCCGTTATTGCCAGCCTCATAGAATATGTTCCACGGGGATGAACTGTCCTTTTCACTAAAATGGCGGATCGAATCATCGCATCCATTCAAATTATGGTAGTTCATATTTTGATCTCTATTCAAGCTGAACAGTTCATTTAGATCATCTTTTAACTTCTCTCTCATGTCATATATGTATGATTGGTAAATATGTGATTTTTTCTTTTCACTTAATAACTGTTGTTTTAGGTCTGCATTTGTACTTTGCGAGCATCGCAAATTGTGAAACATTCTTTTTATGCTATTATTTTTGTACAACTCGATGTTATCCCTTATGCAGGGGTCAATATTGATAGAAGTGGAATCGTAGAAGAAATTGAACTTCTCCACTAAAAACGGATCATTCAAAATGAAGGTTTCTATTTGTAAAATTTTTTCTTTTAAAAAATCATTCTGTTTTATTAATTGTTCTTTTTCTACTTCCATCAGGTTCATCTTCTTTTGGAACATAAGTGGTTCATCATATTTCAAATTGCTGTTAAGGATGTCTAAAATTTCTTCCAAAATTTTTGTACATTTGAGGATTCTATTTATTTTTCCTTCAAACGTCATGTAGTTTACCTCAGCTGGTTTTGTTTCGCCGCCCTTTTCATTTCTGCTTCTCAACATGTTTCGTCCTTCCTCTTGATGTGGCAATAAGTGGTTGAGGCTTTGGCTTAGAAATCCATTTTCTATTTTCAATTTTCCGTTTCCCTCATTTGTGTGTGGTTCGTATTTGTCCCTGTTTAACAGCGTGTTGTTCAGTTGGGCGTTATTTTCTTGCAGCGAGAGGTTTTGCCGCAGCATTTGTTCATATTTGTATTTTATAAACTCATTTTCGTCACTCAATTTATGCATTTCGTTCATACACATGGTATGCGTCCCGTGCGTCTCGAGCGGCCCATGCCTTCTATGCACCCTGTGAGTCCCTTTTTCATTTTTGTAAAAACCGCATGCATCCCTTTCGTTGCACTTCCTAACCAGTTGCTCATTTGTTTTTTTCAAAAAGTAGTTTTCTTGCTTGATGAAATTGTTTATATTTGCTAATCGCACGATATACTTTTTTAATGAGCTGTGTATGAGTGAGACATCGTTTATGTCTCTTTGTGCCCCCGCCGGATTGACCTTGAAGTTGTTTCTGTCCAGACATTCCTTCAGATAATGGTGGATGTTTTCTATAGCTCCAGATTCGAGGTCATCCATGTTTTCCTTCCTCATATGGGGTTATACACTACTTTACGCTAAGTTATACTGTGCGAGTTTGTTCCCAGCTTGGGAAAACGTTTCGGTCTGCTTGCTAAGCTTTATTGTGCCAACCCTGGGTACTCCGCAATGCGCACTTGCTTCGCTTCGCTCATCATAAGGCTCTTCCTCTATAGAGTTGTCTTCTCTGTTCAGTTAAAATGCACACGATTTTTTTTTCTTTCTTTTTTTTTTTTTTTTCCTCACACCTTGCTTACATTTCGAATCAGTTCCCCCATTGGCGTATTTTAAAAAAATTCTTTTTGTAGAACAATTTTGCAGGAAAAAAATAAAATGTGTGAAATTGCACTTTTGGGAAAATTACACGAGTCACCATAAATTCTACCGCATTCGTGAAACATTAAATTTTTTTTAAAAAAAGACTGAGTGAGCATCGTCACCAATGTTAACAAATTGATTGGTACATTTGACGTGTTCACAACGTTTATAATCATTTACACTGATCAGATGTATATAATGTTTAAAACAAAAAAAAAAAAAAAAACGTGGGCCAAATTAAACCACAATAAAATAATGTACGTACAATTTTTTATCATTGTACGTGTTCGCTTTGAATGAATAAAAAAAAGGTTGTCCATTCGTCCGTTTAATTTTCCCCTTCATGTCACTGTGCATGTCTATAAAAAAAAAAAAAAAGTTGACGCTGGGGGGAGGGGTGTAACCCCTGCGTTAAATGCACTGCCGGCGAATATGCGCGCGCGCACAAATGATTAGCGGCAAATGTTTACAAAATGGAAGACGTGAGCCGGCCAAGTGAGTGAGTCAATGCCCAGGTGTTTCACTGCCAAATGGGAGGTTCCTACCCTTCCCCCATGAGTTCACATTATAACACTCGAAAAATGCACAATTTATTTTTCCCTTGGCAAATATACTACTTCGCGTAAGGTTGGCTAAATCCTTTCCAAGGCGAACGGGTTGCCAAAACCTGTACAAGCGAGCTTGCCACGGAGGAATAAATTCTGTGAAGACCTATTCATTGGCAAAAACGCCTTGGCAAACCATTGAAAGGGTCACTTTATGAATAAATTTAGACAAGAAAGAAAAATGTTAGTGATGATAAGGTTGGCAAAGGAAGTTCAAAATGGAGGAAAACTGCACGATGTCACAAATAAATATAATTTATGTTAATGTGATGTTACCCGTAGGGTGGAAAAAAAAAAAAAAAAAAAATCCAAAAAACAATTGATGCTAAAATGGGATCCCAAAAAGGGGCAGACAAATTTACAAAAAAATAATCAAACGTATATGGGGGAACTTAAAAAAAAGGAGGTTATTCCCTTCGAAACAACATAGTTGTCTCTTTTTTTTTGTTCTTTTTTTGTACCCCATACTCATCTGCATGTTAAGCAAACCAATTAAAATTGCACATTTTTTCCAATGGGTTATAAGGACACACCAAAGGGACTTCAAAATTATGAACAACAGAATAAAACGGCATCACAAAAGAACCAATCCCGAATCATCCGTGTCGTAGTTTAATTCTGTGAAAAGGGAATTGGAATGAGGAGTTTATATGAAAGAAGCATACCGATATATACATATACACATGTGCCCCGATTCACCAAGTGAACCCTCCTACATGGTTATCTTAAAAGTTACCACTCCTGAAGGTGTACTGTGGCTCCTCATCGTAAACTTCAAATATGCTTGGATCAATAAGTTTCAAATTTTTGGTTAAATTGAAATAGTCCTCCTTACACTGCGCTCAAAAAAGGGGGAAAAAAAAAAAAAATATTATGTAGTATATATCGAGCTTAATACCTCCTGTTGGGTTGGTTGTTATAGAAAACCTCTTTCATGTCTCTCCTGCGCGTTTTCAAACATGTAGGCGCACGATTATAATTCACTCATAGCATTACATCCACGACGAATATCATCGACAAAGACGAATTCAAATACTCCCATGGAAGAAACTTTATCTTCTGTGTGAAAAATTCAGTATCATAATTTTCATTTAAGTCTGTGAAGGCCCTTTGGCATTTTATATGAGGGTCGAGGTAAAATAGGCCGTTTTCATTTGCCGCATAAAAGTAGTGAGCACTGGTATGCGCATTGCCACTACTTATGCCTTGGAACTGTTTTAGGCCAAAACAGGAGAGTAGGGACTGTTTATATTTCATTATGTTAAAAGAATCAGTCCCTAGTTTTAGGCACACCCATATAATCACTAATATTTTCTCTTTGATTTGAAAAAATTTTAACACTTGATTGTTGTACATTACGCCCGTGTCGAAGGCGACTGAGAACAAGGCATGTCTTTTTTTGCGCTTTACAAAAAAGTATTCCTTCTTGTTCATGACTCGATCCGTAGGGGTAATCTCTCTCCCCTGGATAGGCTCACTTTTTCTAAGGAAGTGATTATCCCGTGTTAAGCAGCTTCCACGATTTAGCGGGATTTTGTTTTTTCTCTTTTTCACAAAGCGGACCTTCTTTCTGTTAATCAGGTTGGATATAACAACAGCGCTGCTGGTCGGCCCAAGCCACTCATGCACAAAATGCTCCATGTTTTTTTGGCTAACTTTTTTGTACTTCATGGTTTCGTAAATGATATTCTGAATGGAGTACTTGGCGCTTTCCATGTCTCTGAACTGCAGTAGTACGGAGTATACCAGCGAGTTGTTCATGTTCACGTGTTGAACAGCACTCATGTGTGGTGGTTGCGCTGCGTTGGCCTTTACTTCGTCCCCACTGTCGATGGTCATCCGGGGTGTGCTTTCCCCCCCGGTGGTCAGAAACATTTCGTAATTCTTAAAATAGCGATATACGTTTTGTTCCCTTTTTTGGGAGACATTATCCCTCCAGGCAGAGGAACATAAGGAGGTGGATGATAACCCTGCTGTTGTTGCCTCCCCGTTGTTAACACCTTGCACTTTATTGCGTTCACAAAATTGGGACTTGTCCATAGGGGGGAAATTACTACAAGTGCTAATTGTGGAGTTGTTATCATAGCAGTAAGTTGCGTCTGATTTTCCGTCCGTTATAAAATAATCGGCCTCTTTTATGTTCTCATCGCAGCAATTTCGTGCAGGCGTCTTTTCATCGTGGTAACTTATTTTAGAGGCATTTTTATTTTCCTTACCTGTGCTAATGTGTCCCCCTGCACCCCCCAACTGCTGCTCATTTGACGATTTTTTCAAATAATTTTTATAAAATGCGTAATCGCTCATATTGTGAAAGAAGGCATACTTCTTGGAGACCTTGTACTTGATTAGTATCTGTGCTAACACCATTTGGACAACCCGTATCATGCACCCCCACCCGGTATCGCTCATGTATATTGATATCGTGTCGTCTCCTTCGGTATATTTGGTTCTTTTCCTCTTTGTAAATTCGGCATATTTATTTTTGTTAACCTGGGTGTACAGAAGGGAGATACTCTCCCTCTCCAAATAGGAGTTTTTGAATTTTTTGCCTTGTGACATTTCATTCATTTTATTGCTAACCCTCTCTTGCCCCACTGTTGTTTCATTCTTTGCTACCATTTTGGAGTCCTCACCCGATGAGTCATTTGGTAAATGTGTGTACGCACTGGGGCTCGTACCCTCCGATTGCTTACCTACAAGGAGGGTGTCATTCATGGTGGATATTCCCCCACTGCTATGCTTATCTGCTTCTTCATCACAATTGAGGGAGTCCCCACTGCCGTTACCCCCATTTGTTCTATTCACATCCGAATTACTTCCATAATTTTCTAAATACAAAACAGTTTTGTTGCTATCGTTTGTACTATCGAAAGAGGTGTCCCTATTATTATCGTCCTCCGAAACCGTTCCACATAAGTCGTTTTTCGCACCAAATGGATTACCATTCGTGTAGTTGTAATCGTCTCTGTTGAAATGGGATCCACGAATCGATTTGGAAGTATTGTCAAAATTCATGTAGAAATATTCCATTTCGTCAAAGGATATTTTTTTAAAAAAATGTTCAGGGAGGTCTGTGAAATTGATAACTCTTTCTTTGTAGTACTTTCTTTTCCTCTTCTTTCTGTTTGTCTTTTTTGTCATTCCCCCTTGTTCTTTTCCTTTTTCGCCTTCCTTCGTTCGCTCTACCTCTTGGCTCACGTTGTTGGAGTGTATCCCTCCGCTATTTGTGCTGCAGGTGATTGGTTCGTTGTTGCGGTTCGAAGGGACCATCTCTGTGCTGGTGCGGCTAGAGAAGCTCCCACTGGAAAAACTCGCACTGGAGAAGCAATTTCTATCGCTAATCTTTAAGCGGAAGTTCGATCTGTATGTGAAGAGCACCTTCGATTTGCACAAAATTAAAAAAAGCTTAAACGACTCCACATCTTTAAGGTTAAAACGTTTGCCGCACATGTAGGCCGTGTTGGATAAGTTGCGCATGTTCAGAGGTAGGTAGTTAAAAATGGAAACCGTGACAAGCATCTTAAAATATCTCCGAAGGGACAAATTGTACTTTATGTTGTTAAAGTAGTTTACTAGCTTATATTTGGACGGGATCGTGTGGGGATGGGCGTGTTCGGTATCCTTCTTTTTCGCGATAACTGCGTTATTTTTGCATTTTCTCTGATTTTTTTTTTTCCTTAAAAGGATATTTGCTTCGTTGCTATTGCTTCTGCTGCTGATGTTGGCGTTTGTGCCTACCTCATTTGACGTCACTTTGGTGGGACTGCCATGTCTATCATGACTGCCCCGCGTTGGGGGGGAATTTTCGAGATTGCCATCTTGGCCCTGTTGCGGTGAATTTGCTTTTTTTCCCATTTTTTCGTAACGCGCGGCAGCATGAAGGTTGGAAGAATGAAGAACAGAAAGCACTGCATAGTATTATCTGTGTTGTGTAGACATTTTCACCGCTTCATCTGTTGGCGCTGTTTGCACACATACGCATGCACAGGCGCATGCCTAGGACATCCCAAAAGGGACGAGAAAACGGGAGAAACGAAAAAATCGCTCCTAAAAATAACGAGCAAAAAGGAAAAGGAAAAACACGTTGATAAAAATCATCATTTTATGATTCCCCTCCAAGGAAGGAAACCGAGTAGACAGTTAAACTGCATAACCGCACAGTCGTACAATGTTGCGGGGCCAAAATTATAAATATGTGACTACATTTTTTTTCGGCTCACTTGGGCGAAGTAGAGATCACTCCTTATGACAGTATTCCCCTTGTCATATTTCGCGCTTGCGCAAAAATTTGTGCATACTGTAGCATTTTCCTTCTTTCCCCTTTCGGAAATCATCAAAACACACGTCCCCCGCTGTCGATCGCGCAATTTATGCATTACGCGAGAAAGAAAGGCTCACATTTTTCTTTACATAGATTTATATGAAAATTAAAATCGACTCAGATGAAAAGTATATTTACACTTTGTATAACCCCATCGACGATGAAATATTGTGGAATTTTTTTTTTTTGGGGGGGGACACTGATTAAATGGAAGACATTACGATTTACAATTCCTGCGGGGGGAAGGTGAACTTACATTTCCGAGCCATCATAAAGGCAAACAATCACAGTTTGAGCGTATGGAATACGCATTTTCGAAAATGTATGTTACCGCATTGTGCACAATGGAGCGTTGGCGAAGAATAATTTTGTCACTCTCCTGTGTTGATGTTCACTTGGGGAAATGATATTGTCTATACACCTTTGTCAGCCCTTCACATTACGTAGCTGTGCATTGGTATACACGCAACACTCGTTGAGACATGCGTACGTTCGTGCGTGAGGCATACATCCATACCACTTGTATGTATGAACAGATTGGGGACTGGTTTCCATGAGCGGGTCATTAATGAGTTTTCACAATAAGGCCTTGCTTAACAACACCGCAGAGATAATTGTTAAATGGCTTTTAAAAAGTAAAATCAAAATTTCTCTTAAACATGTAAAGTTTAGCTTAGGAAAGGAAAAAAAAAAAAAAAGAAAAGAAAGAACAATTGTAAGTTGTAAAAAGTGTTGTAATAATTATATAAATACCAAGTTGATCTTTCAAGTGACGAAAAAAAAAAAAAGAAAAAAAAGGAAAAAACATGTTAATAAGTGGTAGCATACAAAACAGGCAATAAGGCATACACAATAATATTACGCATGCACACATGTAGAGACGTCCGCACACGTATCAAGCGCAACAGCTGACGCTGTGTGACGCTTCAAAGGAAAGAACGCCATTCAAACAAAAAATGCATCCACGAAAATGTGCACACAGGGTTAAAATTAATGTTTAATTATGAGCTTGGGGGGTTTGCTTTCCGAGGAAGGCGTCGTGGGCGCTGCGTTATACCTCCTGCGCAGCTTTCCCTTTCACGTCTATTTCCCTCTTCCACGCTGCCTCCCTTAACTTTTTTCAAAACATTAACAATTGATTAATACAAACCGAAAAAACAAAATGCGCATTAAAAAGTTAATTAAATTATGGGGCCAAGAAAAGCCTCCTCACACATGTACACATGCGAGCATGGACGCATGAACATGAACGTGCATATCGCATATCTGCACATGCGACACATGTACACAACAAAAACACTAAAAAGGTTACTTAAAAAGGTTCTAAAAAAAAAATAACAGGGTTGGTTAAGTGCGCCCCAGGCATGCTTGCGCAACTGACTGGAACAACTTCTTTATCTCTGTTGCGGCGTGGACAAATGGGCATTCCCAAAAGTGGAATCTGCAGTAGAAGGGGGGAGGAGAGAGATGTATAAAGTGTTACACCGATGGTAAGCAGGACACATGCACGTAGTGCTCAAGGCACACACAGTATACGTAAGGTGCACACACATCACTGGTTCAGTGTCTCACTGCCTTACTTGGCATTTTTTATTAACTCGATAAAGGTTATCAGCAATCCCCAAGGGTGAGGCCTATGCGCAAGGATGCGCTCCAGCAGTACTCGAATTATCTGCTCTTGAATGACAACATCATTTGATTGCGAAAACAGAAATAAAATGACGCAAGAAAAATAGTGGGTGTGCGAATTAGGGTACCTAATATGATTCACGATATTTGATAGGAGCAAGTACCTCCCTTCCATGTCCAACTCTTTGCATAAGAACAGGAACAGTGTGTAGGCCAAATTGTTCTTTACAACAATAACGTTCCTTTGCTTCTTTCTTCTTTGGCAAATTGCATCTCTGCGTTTGTCACTGTCATTATCGGCACGGTCATCCTGGTTCTCCATCAGCAGAGCTTCACCATTTTCGTCATCGTAGTTATCAGAAAATTCTTGTCCTTCATTTTCCCCCTCGTTGTTGTCCCTCATAAGTTCTACATATTTTTTGGACAAGTTGGGTTCCGACTGGTCTTTATGTATTTTTTGTTCTTTATTCCGTTTCGTAGTGGAAACAATATTTTTTTTTTGTTTTTTTTTTTTCTCCACCGGTTCTCGCAGAATAATTTCTTGCAATAATTCGTTTTTATCATCAGGCACATTGCCATTGCTATCTTCACATTTCAGTAACAGTACAGGGTCGCAGTTACTGTTAAATTTGAACATATTATTAACCTTGGCTTTACAAATACTTGTTCCTACGTACATAATGAGCGAGTTTAAAACATCCACGTCATACTTAAGAGAGTACTGGTATGTCTTCCTTTTCGCAAACAATAATTTGTCCTTAATATGCAACAGTAGGGTAAAATCCCGATTGGTAAAATACTCATCAATTACATTTTTTAATTTCTTTCTGCAGAGAGGGAATATGATATTTGTCAAAATTTTTGGCACTAATTTAATTTCTTGTAACAAATCAATTTTTACATCTGACATGAACGGGTCAGGCAATTTTATGTTTCTTGGAAAGGCGGAGAGAACAAGATTTCGTAACTGGATACAATTCAGTGGAAATAAAGTGCCGAATGTTACATAATAGCAGGATAAAAAATCTGGGAAATCATGTAGCAGCACCAATAGTATTCTTACTGTTCCTATGTACAACGCTTCTATCGCTTTTGATATCTTTGCCTCTTTTAAAAAAGAATTCATAAATGTGAATAAGGCAACTAGCAACCCTTTGTATGCTTCCCAGCCACAAATTTTGGCCAACATTTTGGGCATAAAATATTTAGAAGATATGAGCTCTAACCATGAGAAACAAAATGATGGGACCTTTAATGGGGACAACAAGGAAAAGCAGTTGGCAAAGCAATCCATATAAATATATATGTCATTTGCATACACGCAACTTTCGTTAATATCGACCAGCAAACAATGTAGTAGCCTAAAGTAAGGTCTCTGATTAAATGTCTTCTTTTCAGTTTCGCACTTTTTGTGTATGACTCTGCATATGACATGGAGGGCCCTCTGTAGGATTACTGGGGACAGCTGTTCTTGTTCTACTAGCTTGCTCATCGTTACGACCATTTTGCACCAGGCATCCACGTAGCTGTAATTTAGTAAATCACTTGTTTTGTGCGTTTCTCTTAACTCTGCATCGCTTGTTTTATCCTTCACAAAATTTTCATTGGTCATTTTCTTTTCCCCCTCCTTCGGTGCTATCTGGTTGGAATGGTCATTATTTCCGGTAACCTCTCCCATTTGTAGAGTCTCCTCGGGCGATTCGTTCGCACGTAACAGTTGCTCGTTTGTTTCCTTCACTTCTGCTGCATCCGTTTTGCATGATACACCTCCCTCTAAGGGTTGGTCCCCCCTGTTACTTGCATTGTCCTCATTTACGGTGTCATCCAGTTTGATATCATGTGCCGACTTCTTCAAATTCTGCACAGCTATGCTAACCGAAATGCTAATCGAATGAGACAGAAACTGATCCGTAATGTGGTCCATACACAGAAAGCCAATGTTCCACAGTTTCACCAAATATTTTGCACACTTTAAAATGTGTTGCTGCTTGATGATCTCCAGCATGGGGTTCCAAATGCTCATCTTCAAAATGTTTAAATAATTTTTATACAACAAGTACCACTCCGCAAAAAGGTACGCAATAAATAACCCCCTTTCTTCTTTCACTACAGGCGGGGCAGGCAAAAACTTGCACTTTATCGGTTCGTGTAACAAGTCGCGTACGTAGTAATGGTGCATGTACTTTTCTGGGGGCTTATTATTCACGTTGTTTTCTTTAACCCCGGGGACGTAGTTGTTTATTAGGCTGTTGTTCTGGCTCTCGGGGACCTTCAAATTTGTATCCTTTTGTAATTCTAACTGCATGTCATGGTAGGATGCTGACAAAGCGCTTCGGGCGGATGCACTCGACATGGACGAGACGACAGAGGAGCTAGACGAAAATGGGTCATTCATGTAGTCTTTTTTTTCCTCTTCCTCCTCGCCCTGCCTGGTTGGTAAAAACGAATTGGAGGAGGACGAAGAATAATCTGACATGTCTGAGTTGTCCGATTCAAAAGAGTACAATGAGGAGGAGCTACAATCTTTCTTCTCTTGGGGTGCATTTGGGCCCTGTTCCGTACTATCCTCGACATTTCTAACATTTCCATCTTGCGTTTTAACAGTGCTACTATTTACACCTACAGCAGAGTCATTTTTTAAATGATGCTTGATGTGTTGTTCCTTGTTATCGCTGTGCGTGTTTTCCCAATTCAGATCCCCACTTTCCCGCTTTTCACAGCTACCTTCTCCATTCAAATCGTTGCTCACAATTTCCTTCCTGATAATTTTCTCGGTGTTGATGTTTTTATTTTCTATGCTCAGTCTTTCCAACAAATACATGGTGCGTTCATTTACGTTATTATGATCATATTGAATTTTTACGTTTGCTATAAAAAAGGAGTTTCCAGCGTTGGGTGGATTATTTGTGCTCTCGGCGGATGTGACGGATGATTTATTCGCGCACTCGTTGTTGCTACTTTGGTGGGTCAACGAAATGGGCATCGTCTGGTTGTTCTTTTCTTTGAGCACTTGCTCCTTCTGTTCATCACACTTGTTCGACACGCCTGGGTCTTTTTTGCTACTTCTCTGCTTTTGGGTGTATTCCCCATTCATTTCGCCATCCGACCGATGCATCTCCTTCCGTGCCTCTTCTCTGCCTCCCTTCGTCGGGAATATGTACTCCGTCAGATTGATACGCATTTTTATGGATTCTTCCTCTTTTTGTGCTTCCCTGGCCTGCTTCTTCAAACGCTTAAGCCCCTCAACCATTTGTTGCAATTCCTTTTGCGTGCTTTCCAGGAGGGCCTCTTCCGTATCAGGCAAGTTAACATATTGCTTATCACTGCACAACATTTTATTTATCACGATTAACTTTTTAATGGTCTTTTTAACATGATCCACAGCCAAATACTTTTTCTCAATAACTACATAGTTTATGAGCTCCGCGCAAAATGAAACAAAATAAAGGTTGCTACTATACCTCAAAATTTTACACATCATTTGGTTTAACTTTTTGTGATGAATGATGTTGTAACGGATGAATGGGACCATGTGGCTTACGTTGTAGCCCTGGGTGTCTTCTATGTAGGAGCTAACTAGTTTCTTCAGTTCTTTGTTGTTTCTGCACATTTTCTCTAATATGCACAGGAGTACCTCCAGGTGCAGGAACAGTTCGTTTGTGTTCCCCGGCTTGGTGTGCACAGAATTGTCCTCACGCGCGCTTCCATTCGTTGTGCTTTGGCAGGGCGTATCATCCTTACCGCGGAGGCTGCTGCTAATAGTGTCATCGCAGTTTCCGCCACTTATGCCACTTACACCGTTAGCACTGTCCTTCTCGCCTTCTTGCCCACTGTGGATTAGTGAAGTTACGGTTTCCTCCCTTGCACTCTGTTCGCCCTGGTTTAAAAGGACAAGCATTTTTTTTATGGCCTCCTGAATTATCTTAAACAGTTTAGTGCCTATAATTTTGTAAGTCTCATTCCTATCTGATGCAGATTCGCATATCAAAATAAGTAATTTGCAAAGAACAAAAATTTCGTGATCAGTCGAAAGGTATGTTAGTACCAAGAGGGAATGGGTAGCTGCGCATGTTAATTTTTCAAACTTATAGTACGGTGTCTTCACATTACAGTAGTTTTTAAAGTTGTGCACTGATGGCATGGAGGGAGGGAAGACCTTTATATATTTGACAAAGTCCTTAATGCTTACCATGACAACTTCGAAGAGTGGGATTATTTCTTTTACACTCATTTTCTTGGTGCTTTCATTTAAAAATATGTTCGATATGAAGAAGAGGAACTTTTGCTTGCATGAGATATTCACGTTTTTTATTTTCTTCAAGTACAGGATGGCCCCATCTCTGCGCTGTCCGTTGTGGTCGGCGTTACCACTACGCAAGTTGCCGTTAACATTGTTGCCCGTAACATGGTTTGAGCTGATTCCGTTATCATCATCAGCAGCAGCAGCAGGGGTCCCCTTCTGCTCTGCTTCCACCCTCTGCATCATCATCGCGGCGTCCACACCCATGCACATGGAAGGGTCCATTTTGGAGTAACTGTCATTGTTGCCTTGTTCAGGAGCAAAAAAAACTGAGTTCTTCCCGTAATACGTGAAATTTCCATTTTTCAAATTTCCCACAAGGTCCGTCTTGATGGTACCGTTCTTGAGGTTTTCCATGTAGTGATCATGCTTCGCAAAGTTGTTAAAAAAGGCTTCTTCTTCATGGGGAATTCTCATTGCATTCGTGTTTCCGTTCAGGTTGCTAACCATGTCGGGCATGCTACAGGCGTAATCGCCGTTTGCGAATTTGGACGTAACAAACGCGGGCGCAGAAGTGGCAACGTTAGGAGACGAAGCAGGATGGATAGGCGAAGAAGCTGCAAAGGGAGCGAATGGAATTGCATATGCTGGCGCAGATGCAACACCGGGTGATGATAGTACACAGCTGCCACTTCTGTCCTCGTAGTTGTTATGATGTCCCGACTGTGCGCTGATATCCATTTCGCCGAAGTTCTTCCCAACGTAATTATTCCCCAGTGTGATACCCGAGATGTTATAATTTTCAACGTTCACATACCTATTATTTGTATTAAAATTATAATCATTATTATTGCAGTTATAATTATTTGGAGATTTAAATACATACATAGCGTTAGGGGTGTTGTGTGAATTATGGAGATTCACAAAGTTGGCCCCGAGGGTGCTGTTAGCACTGTTAATATTATTAATGTCGCCCGCACTGTTAACACCGTTAATATTGTTAACCTGGTCAACAGCGTTAATACTGTTAGTATTGTCAATATTGTTAAGGCTGTTTGCGCAGTTGGCGTTGCTGGCCTTATCAACAGTACTCACAGTATTAGCGTTGTTAGCCCAATTAACCATATTAGCACTATTAACACCACTGACACCCTTAGGATTGCTAACAGAAGGAACATTCATAATATAATTCATATTATCAATGTCGTTCAGCTCATTCAAGTTATTCACACAATTTATATTATTATTACTATTCATATTATTACCTAGGTGAAAATTCGCACTATCTTTGGAGCCGTTACTTTTTCCATGCGCGTACTTTGCTCCGTTTCCTGTGTAACCTGTGCTCGCCGAAGTTCCACTTTTCTGAGGCGACACTCCAATGATGCTGTTTCCTGCACTGCATCCGCTGTTCTCGTTATTCTCCTCGTTGTCTCCACTTCTTTCTTTATAGTACTTGTCTTCCAAATACCTACTCCCCTTGTCGCCGTCTTCCTTCAGCTCCTCCTTGCGGTTGGTCTTGAGTGGGCCGTTCTTACAATACTCTCCATCCTGCTCCTTTGGATATCTGGCCATTTCTTCGTTCCTTCCATCCAGCGAATTCGAAATGTACTTTTTGTTGTTGTAGAACGGTGTGTCCCCGGGTGCTTCATTTGGCACGTTTTCGCTGTTCTCCCTATTTTGACAGCTTTGGTAGTTCGGGCCGACTACTCCATTGGATCCGTCTTGGATGTTCCCATCGTTGGTAAAATTCGCCCTACCTTGGTAATTGCCGCCATTTGGGTAGTTTCCACCATTTTGGTACCTGCCACCTGGCACATATCCAGGGGGGGGAGCGTTCTCACCTTCACTGGAGCCTCCCTCATGATCAACTCCCCCAGGCGAAAACAATTTCTGCTGCAAATTGGACAAAATTTTTAAGTTCATAAAATTTTTATACACTTGAATATGCTTTAGGGTTATATTATGCGCCTTCAAAAAGATGGGTAAAGCGTTGTAGTATTTATTGTTGGCATTTTCCTTAATGTTTAATTTGTGTATACGTGCATATTTTCTGGAGGCATAAATGGGTTTCATGATTTCTTCAATTTCGATGGAGGATTTTTCAATGACCACTTGTTCGATTATAGAATAAATTAAATTTATATTTTCATTAATTAATGTTCTGATGACATCGTCCACAATTGTGGCACTGATTTCTGGGGGGCAGTTTTGGTCAAAAATGTTTCTCAAATTTTGTATTAAAATGTTCCTTAATGGTTTTTTGCAGGATACTAGAACAAGGGAGGACGAGATGCTCGTGGCCATTAGTAGGGATGCCTTATGCATAATCGTTTCTTTAGATTCGTTCACAAAATCTTTCTTAACTAATTCTCTCGTAGTTATACACCCAATGAGGACAAATCGATCAACAACGGAGGTAATTATTTCCTTGATGGCTGAGTCGAAGGCTAAATAAATTAGCATTCTACACTTTTGGCTTAATTTAATCGCTGCAACAATGTTCGCTGATATAACTACGTTCTTCTTCAAAATGTTTAATATTTCTTCGTTTAGCATTTCGTTAAATTTGTTGTTATTCACGTTTTCTTGGTACATTGGTGTACTATGCATTTTTTGGTTCATGTCGCTCGTCACCCCATATGCAGATGAGGGCACACCATTTGTGTTTACCCCGTCAGCACCACTGTTGCCCATGCCTAGCATGCTGGCCTTTCCATTACTTCCATTTCTGCCCTTGGACATGCCGACATTAGCATTTCCAACGCCGCTAACCATGTTCATTCCAACCTGCTCGCTCGCCTTGAACTTGTCCAACATCGGTAGAGGAAGTGGGGACGCAGGAATGCCGGCACCACTCTTCACACCTGATGCTGGTTCCCCAAAATTGTTCTTAATGTTAAAGCTACTCGATGGCGACGACACATAGCACTCCCTCTTGGGATTTTCATAAATTTCATTCTTCGATGGCATTTTCGCGTTCTTCAAATCAATGCTTCTGTATGGTCCATCGTGTTTGTTGCTTACGGGGAGTTTATTTTTACCCATCAAATAGTTTGCAACTTTGTACGAGTTGTCCTTAAACTCTGCGTCATTCAGTTTGTCCTTCTTCTTAGTAGAAAGTTTTAAATCTTTCAGTAGTGCATCCTCATTGATGTTGCTTCCGTTCCCTTTTGCTGCTAACCCCTCGTTATTCAACAGCACAGAAAAATCGCCGCTCCTATTTGCAATACTGCTAGTACCCATGGCTCCACCACAAGGGGCACCATTCTCCCCTACATACATAAGATTGTTAAATTTACTAGGGTCACCAGCAGCTCCATTCATATAATTAAAAACTGACATGGATTGATTTTCCTTCGTGTTGCTACTTGGGGATAATTTTTTCATCGCGTTATTATTCTTTACCATCATTTCGTTATTCATATTATTTTTGTTCACCATTATAAATCCATTTTCTACACCTTTCTGGAATCCTTTGGAGGGCAACGGTTGGGTTAAATTGGAGCTCATGAATCTGCTTTTACTTCCACCACTCGCTCCCTTGTTGTTCAGGAGCATCATATCTACTGACGAGTTGAATGCCATGTTGGGGGCGTCGTTTTTATTTCCATTGTTGAGAATGCCCATGCTGTTCATCATTCCCGGGTTCATGCCGTTAGCATTATTGTTGTTATTTATATTGCCGCTGAGGTTGGTGGCGTCAAGCAGGGAACAGACTTCCATAACGTTATTCGGTTCCTTCATATCTTCGCCCTTTCTACTTTTAATTAACAAATTTGAGCTTCCATTTCTATGGTTCATAAACTCGTTCGCGTTGTTGTTGCTACTCATGGTCGCCATAATAGAGGACATGCTATTATAATTATTCATAGCATTGAATCTGGGGTCCTTACCAAGTAGGAATGAATCTGGTCCATCGGCTGCGATTGCCTCCAGTGCCCTACCACCTCTCTCATTATTTCTCACACTTTCATTAACGCTACCACTTGCTCCATTTTGATGCACGAAATTTTCTCCGTAAAAATTACCACACGCATTGTACGACTTGTTAAACATATGCATTTGCACTGGGGTTACGTATCGTCCAGATTGGCTACTACTCTCACCCAGGTAATTCACACTCAAGGTGCTGTTCTCATTGAAGCTATTCCTAATAAACAGATCATTCGTGTTAATGGGCAAATTACGACACTTGATAATGTTGCACTTGTTGTAATAATCAAACACATTAATCTTAAAATAGTTAAACAGCAATTCTATTTCAAAAATTAAAATGGTCTTCAGTGACTGCGCTTCGTGTAGTTCACCAAGTAGATTTAAAATGCCAACGGTCCATGGATTGGGCGGCTTGAAGATCTTAGAATTTTTAATACTCTCTAAAATTTTACACACAGCTGGAAAGGTAACTATCAGGTAGCCATTATCATATGAGTACAAAATCAGCTGCTTAATGTTCATATGCTTTGACATGAGCGGTTTGTTTCTTCCTAAGGTTATTATGCCTATCCAGGCCCCTAAATTTTTTAATAGCAATCTGTACGTTGAGGAATCCTTTGTTATTTCTATAAAATTTAATAAGGTGTTAAAAATCTCACAGGACAGATGCGTAACGTGGTCAAATATTTTGTCCATTTTGATGGCACTGAGTAGGTGTAAATATATGAGCATATCTTCTGATGTTTTTTTTTTTATAATATATTTTAACAAGTTAAAGAAAAAAACGTCCCTTCTTATAACTACGTCTTCTTCAATTATTTTTTCTTCGTAACGATCATTAATTCCGGTGATATACTTGCTATCATCGTTTTCGTCTTCATCAGTGCTATCCATATAAAACTCCACATCCGTGCTTTCACTCCCGCACGCGTTTTCCTCCATTGGGTCATCATTACTCGATTTGGCAAATGGGTTCAGATTTACGTCCTCTTCTTTATACTCACCACTAGACGATTCATTTTTCCTCTGATTAGTTGTACTTCCTCCACTGTTGTGGTCCTCTTGCCCAAGTTCGCTTATGGCACTTTCGTCGCTTTTATTTCCGCTACTTTTAGCATTCTCCGCGTTGGCGCTGATTCTATGGGCGGTTTCCTTTGAGTCTTTTGTTTTCTTCTTAGGAGTGTTGGCAGTTTCTTCTGCTGAGTCTTCTTTACCCTTTTTGCAATTCTTCCCTTGCTTGTCCGCCAAGCCACTTTTATCCTCCTGCGTGGGAGGCTGGTCAGTGCCCTTATTTTGACACTTAAGTTCGCCTTGCGCGCTAGGGCTGCCTTCTACCGTTTTATCCTCTCCTTCTTTTTTATTCTTTGGGTCGCTTTTATCATTAGCGCTGTTTGCACTGTTTGCATTATTCGCGTCGTTGGAGTGGGATTCGTTCAGGCTGGAGCTTTTCTCAGACTTGTCGCTATTCTTCTTATTCTTTTTTTTCTTCTTTGGCTCCGCCTCTTTCTTCGGTTCGCTGGCCTCGTTCACGCCGTTGACCTCGCTCGCTTCGCCAACCTCACCGCCGCTGCTGCCACTGTTGCTCTTCTTCTTATCCATACTACCATTGCCTGACGCACCCTTTTCCCGGGCCTCGTGTTCCTCAACGTGCCCATCTTCCAACTTGGCCACTTTATCTGATACCTCATCGGCATGCCCCTGAGCGTTTTCACCATCACTGTTTGCGTTTTCATAGGGGGCGACGTTATCCCTTTCCGTATCTGGTACCATCCCCTCCTTCTTCATGGACCCTTTCTTGAGTTCTATCAACCACTTCAGTTGTCTTCCCTTAATTTTAATACTGTCCGGATTAATATCTCTCAGAATTTTAGCTAGCTTGTACATGAATTTTTTGGTAATAATTTGTTCAATCAGATATTTTTTATTTTGATAAATTTCATTAAAAGCAATATTTAGCAAGTTTAATGTGTTGGCTTCATTATAATTTAGACTATCTTCTAGATTTTCATTCATTTGTTTTTCACTTGGTATGTTTTCCTTCATCGTTACGACCATATTGTTACTCTCGGTATCCATTTTTAAATCCTCCTTGTTGAAATGTAGCCACTCGTTTTTAACCATGTGGTGGTTAAAATTATCATTTTCGTGTTTGTTCAATTCGTTCACATTCATTTTGAGGTAGCCATTTTGTACCATCTTATCTTCTTCATACTTTTCTTGCATATTTCTATTTAGAAAGTAGCCATTATTTTTTTTCTCTTCATGAAATTTGTTCCCACTTGGGCTCATGTTCAAATTACCAGTCATATGCATATAATTTTTTTCCTTATGTTCATTGTAGAATATGTCGCTGTTATTTTGCATCATGACATTGTTTCCGTAATTCATGTAATGCTCTTTCATATTTCCTACGTCCATATGAGTGTTTCCTGGTCGCATAGCCTGCATGGTGTAGTTCCCTTCATACACGCTGTTATTACTCGGGTTGAACATGGTGTTACTGCCTGGGTTGTTGTTTATGCCATTTGTACTGCCCAGGCCATTTTCCACGTGTAGGTATTTGGGATTGTTCGCATCCATATTTCCTCCATTGGCCAAATTGAAATTGTTGTTACACATTTGAAGAAATTCGTTGTTGTTCATGTTGAAGAAGGCCCCCGCATTGTTGTGCATGTCGGCGAAGTTGTTCATGTTATTTAGGGAATTTATGTCGTTTGGGTTGCCCATTCTGTTTAGACCACCACCCATCCCATTTAAGTTGTACATAGCGTTTAGGCCAGTTGGTCCGCCTGGTCCGCCTGGTCCGCCCGGTCCCCCTGGCATATTTAGCCCATTCAATCCGCCGGATACGCCCATTCCATTGACTTGGTTAAACATTCTCATCTCCATGTTGCTCGTGTTACAACTGTTCATGTTGTCATCGATGCTCAAAAAGCTATCATTATTCTCAAAAGCATTAACAGAACTGGTGAACATTTTGTTATTCACATTATTGGGTAACTCATTCATTGTGCCCACAGAAGAAGCGGTGTTGCACTTTGTTCTGTTTTTCGATTTTCCGGAAATTATGTTCGCATACGAGAGGGCATTATTTTGATGGTTGTCCACATTTCCACAGGGATAAGAAGTGTTACTATTCGTATTACTAGGCACATGCTTACTTGCACTGTTTGTGCTGTTCCCAGAGTTGTTCGCACTGTTGTTGTTCTTTCCATTATTTCCTTTACTCATCATGGGATCCTTCACATTCTTTTTTTTCTTTTCCCCTCTACCCACATTGTTATCCTTCGCGCTGCAGTCATTTCTTCTATCCGCGCTATTATTTTTTGCATTTCCTCCTCTGTTATTTTTGTTGTTATTCTTGTTGTCGTTTTCATCATCCTCCTTATTGCTTTCGTTGTCGTCATCCTTATGACCATCCTTTCGCCCATCTCTTCGACCATCCCTATGACCATCTTTATCATCATCCTTGCCACTATCCCTATTGCTGTTCCCGCTTCGGTTGCCGCTGCTACCGCCATTACCATTATTGTTATTATTCCCGCTGCTGCTATTATTATTACTATTGTTATTATTATTGTTATTATTATTACTATTATTATTACTATTACTATTATTATTATTGGCGTTGGCGTTTCCCTTATAATTGTTAACCTCTTTGCTGTGTCCATCTGCTGCTTTGTTGGTACCACCCTGTTTTTCCTCGCTGATATTATTCGAGTTCCTTATATGCACCATGGTTTGCTCAATTGGGGATAACTCAATGTATGGAAGTTCAATGGCACCGTGGACCCTTTCGACCACATCAATGTGGTCAGCATCTGTAGGGGTGGTCCTCCTACTGCTCATCACTGGATCAATGCTTCTTAGCAAAGCGGGAATTGCACTATGGCGATTAACACTACTCACACTGTCACTACTACCCCGTGACATCCTCGACGGGGGTTCACAACTGCCTGTCCGATCCACGTCCGAACCGCTGTCACTAAAATGGTAATCTACATCCTCTGTCGCATGTGCGTGATTGCTGAACATACCGTCCATGTGATTCTGAGCGCTACCCTCCTTGTAATCATCACATTGATCATTGCTTCCATCACTTATTATCCTCTTATTAGCTTCACTCAATAAGTGCCCCGTTTGTTCTTCCACGAACTGATTTAAATCTGCCTCGTAGACACAACTTACGGAGGTAACAATTGTCGTGGGAATATTTTCCCCATTTTCTAATGTCTTATCTTCCTCCTTCTGTGTACATGGGGCATAATTAACCTTGTCATTCATATTATTTTCTTCCACAGGCATAACCCCATTTGGTGTGCACCACCTGCTACTGTGTGTGAGATCATTATTGTTGACACGACTCGAAGAATCGTTTTTTTCACTGGGAGGTACATTTCTTCTGAATGAAAGAGAGCCACTTTTGCGTCTATTCCGTGCAGCATCCTTTATGCCATTCTTTAACTCATTCTTGATTCTATTCCTGCTGGGTTTATTCTTCGAAGGTCTTTTACTTGTGGAGCTTTTAAAATTCTCCATATGATCAGTTGACCCTCGGTTGGTATAACTGAGGCGGGTTATTGTACTACCAGTGCTGCTGTAGCCTTCGCTGACACTTGCTTCAGTTGGGTGGTACGCACTCACATCGTTACTTGTGCAGCTGTGGTTGCTACTTGTTGTTCCATCACTCTCTTGCTCATAGTCAGCGTTCGTTGCGTTATCGTGGCAACCCAAAATCGCTTTGCTGACAAGCCCAGAACTTCTTTTTCCATAGCCATTGCTTTTCTTGTTAATAAAAAAAATGTGCTGTTTTATACTCATACAATGGGTGCCTCTGTCATGATAATCCATTCTCATGTTTTAATGGTACAAGTGGTTCATATTTAACGTAGCACATCCGAGCAGGGGTGTCACGGGACAACGGGATGGCTGTATATGTGCATGTAGAACTACGTCTACACATGCACACATACATACATGTCACGGGTGCGTGTCCGTCCTGCCCCCGTTTTTCAGAATCCACAATTGCTGCGTTTAGGAACAATGTGACAAATTCAAAAAATGCTACTCGTTGAAAAATGGTTGAGCGTCCAAAGGTTCACGCGGCGAAAAACAAAGGGGTTAAAAATGCCTTGCATTCGCGCAGCTCGAGCCGATTAAAAATATGCTGCGAGTATTGCAGCATAGCTACATACGTGGCATATATGTTCTGAACGTAGATAAAAGGCTAATGTACAATTTGTTGTACTCCAGTTGTTAAAAAATGTGAAGTGCGCGATGTTACGTGGAGGGGGAAGTGCCGCTATGTGCCGCTAAACAACGATGAACAACGGGTCAAGGCGATATATGCTGTTAAATGTGGTGATGGAAGAAACCTCAACAGAGGGGACATGAACGATGGAAGAATATGTAATATATAAAAACAGTGGAATGCAGGAAACGAATGAAAACGTGCAGCGCGCAAATTTTGACACAAACTGAACTGTGAAAGAGGCGCGCACGCGAATATGAAGCACAGGAACTCTGACACGAACACGAAGAAGCACAAAAATGTAACAGGAAAAAAAAAATAAAACGCAGAAAAACGAATAAACATGAAATGAATGGGAAAAACAAAAATAAAGGAAAATGAAGAAATATGGAGAAAAATAGAAAAAAAATGAAGAAACTGAAACATGCAAAATTGTAAACGTAAAAAACATTCAAATAAAAAGGCAAACACGTCATTATAATATTATTCAAATGCAAGCTTCGCACGATTACGTGTATGCAGTGACAGTACGTACAGTATGGTACCCGTACAGCACAGCGTATAGCGCAGCGTACCGTACTATACCGTTCGAGCGACCCAACTGGGTTATTGTATATATGGGCGCATGGGTATATACCTTATAGTCATTTTACGCTTCCGAAAAAAAAAAAAAAAAAAAAAAAACCATAGCGTCGTGCATGCGTGGTTTTGCATACAGCATGTACATACATATTATATGTAATACTACTTGTATGTATTTATTTGTGCGCCACGCATTGTACGTTTTGAACAAAAAAGGCGTGTTTTGCTGCCTGGGCGTGAATGTAGCACGGTCAGCTATGAAACACAAACATGTGGAAATACGGAATAGGAAAAAGGGCAAGCAGGGAAAAAGAGCAAGTAGGAAAAAATGCAATTGTCAAAATATACAAATTGCAGCATGCTTCATGCAGCATGGCTTATGCAAATGTCCCATACATGCCAGCATTCGCACCCTCGCTTACCGTACGCCATGTGCCCTGTGCTTGTGTACCCCTTACATTCACATACCTGGCGCCCTTCTTTATTCGCCCGCCTGCCGCCAAACCCTTTGCACGCCCCCCCTAGCTGCATGTGCGTACGCACATATACAACATAAGGAGCTATTATATAAGGCATACACGTGTAGCATACATACGCACGCTTATACATGAATAGCAACGCAGTGCACGTCGAAGGGTCAGCACGCCAAAGGAGATGAATAAACCCTAGGCAAAAATGTATGCCTCTTAATGGCAAAATGTTACATTTGCATTGGCAAGCGCGCGGAACGTAGTCAATTTAGGGAAAATTTTAAAAAGAAGTCGTAAAGAAAACGACAAAGGAAGTGGTTTCACCCAGCCAGAGAATTTCTTGTGTGCTCCATTTTTCATTTCGATTAAGAAAGCATTTTGCAGTTCCTTCCATATATATGCATTTTAAGTGCCCTTATCGCAAAAGTTGCTACAAAATGTACATTATGTGAAGCAACCCCAAAAGTTACACAAAACGATAGGGGAATGAGGAAAAAAAAAAAAAAAAAGAACAAAGAAAAAAAGAAAGAATGAAAGAACGGGTGAGTAACAATCATAGCAGTAGAAAAAGAAAAGATAACGAATGATTAAAAAAGGTGAAAATAAAAATAAACAGGAAAAGATTAAGGGTAACAAATAGGCCAACTAGGAACCTGTAAAATATGCAACGAAGGGAAGCGCACGGGAAGATGACTGCAAGGGGGCTTTTCCACATACGCTGTAAATTTACATAAGGTTAAAATGTTCACTTGGACTTTTTCATAAGTATGGTTAAATGTGTGAAAAGGAAAAAAAATTTACTCAAGGGAAAAGAACACCAAATGTTTCGTACATTATGTATACATGTATGTATTTATGTTGATAGATGTTACCCGCCCTGTTTACACACCGCTTTCTAAATCTGTTCATTTGAAAAATCCTTGTCGGAGGTTACACAACATAGATCCGCGAACTCACTTGGGGGTCTTGTTTTCCCCCGCGCATGCACTTATAACCTATGGTTCATTTTTTTATGCCCTACTGAAAAGGGTGTCTCTCAATTTTGCAATATTGGCGAAATGGGGACACACACTTCGGGGCACATTCAACGGGGGGCGGAAAACACCAAGAGCAACCGTTGTAGTACTCGGTGTGTACCTAAACGATTATCATTCGCCTGTTATTCTTTTTACTCATTTATGGTAGCACATGTTTATACATACACATGCACGTATATTTACACGCAGATTCGCACATGTATAATTATGAACTTGTGAGGAGCGGTTTGGGCGGATCTGCGGTGCTAAGCTAATGCGTACGCTTGTCGCGCTGGCTAAAATGGAATTCGTCCCGTTTGTAAGCCGCAAGTGCTGGTTAATGTCCCATGGCTTCCACTGCGGTTACTATTCTCTTTTTATTATATTATGTTATATTAAATTACATGTTTCTGTTTTTTTTTTTTTTTTTTTTTGCTGTAGCCATCATGCTCATGGTCCCCGTGCACACATGCACAGGAGACCTGTATATACAGCAAAAATTGTGCAGTCCTTGTGCACGACAACATGTGGGCATACTTCCCGTGCAACGGATTGGCACAACATTCAGACGATATGCAATTCCGACGAATGAAAAACAAATTGTAAAAAAAAGAGAGAAAAAAAAAGGAGAAAATTTTGCAGAGCACGTAAAGGAGGCAGCCATTGCGCCTTTGTAGTGTACAAAACAGCTACATTTGTATACAGAATTTTGTTTGTCACACATGGGACGCTTTTGCCCCCGCGGCGTTATTTCCACCCATTAGGGGTCATCAAAGGTAGGGGGAAATAACACCAGCGTGGGATACAAACGTGTTACAAAGAGATCACACAAAAATGTGGCAAAAGGGGGGAACACGCAACATGCACATTCCATTATCCCCATTTAAGGGGGGGGGGGGGGTACTTATAAATAGGCCATTTAAAGGTACGTATACATATATATGCATATGTATATGTGTGATGCATACAGAGTGTCACATATGCCCAGTGGCAACGAATCACCTGTAACCGTTACGTCAGCTCCTGTTTGTTTTTGCATCCACATTAAGATTCGTCCGTGTGACCAGACAGGAAAACATTCAAAAATTCGTAGCCATATTTTTTTATTTTATTTTCCCCGAATCCGGTTAGATTCAAATTTTTGATGTCGTCAATAGAGTTGGGGCGATGCAACAGGAGTAGTTTTAAATTCTTTGTGCTAATTACTTTTTCCGGATCTGTAATATTATTCCATTTTGACAAATTAGCTCTACACTGTAGTAGATTATGTAGCAAGCTGTCATCAGTTCTATGAGCAGGTGTTCGTGATGAGGTCTCTACCATTGTCTGGTTTGTTCGATTCATGCAATTGCTTTCGTAGGGGGTTGGCGATGTGATGCTTATTGTGTCAGATTCTCCAAAGTTTGAAGTGTTCTTATAAATGGGTGAGTTGGGGTTTAGGCCGATCGGGTAGTAATTATTCTGTGAAATGTTATCTCTCATGGGGTTCTCCTCATATGACTGATCAAGATGATGCTTGTACGTGCTGCTATGTTCGCCGTACCTGTAATTCACACGACTGTCATTATTAGCGTATTTGTCATAGTTGCGATAGTCCTCATGGTATACATTGCTTTCATAATCACCCTGATCACAGAAACTTCTTTCCTTCACCAATACGTTGTTATGTACAGGATCGTTGGGCACTCCACTGAATTGGCAGTACATGTACTCGTCTTCCTTGACCTTCCTATTGGTCATTTGGTTTGCTGCCCTATCCGCATTATAGTCTCGGCGTTTCACCTCGGCACTGTCATGATGCTCCAACGTGTCAATTAATTTTAACAAATCGTTGAGACTTAAGTATGAGTTGGGCGGACAGGAATATCGAACCTTCCTGTCACTTAAATAATTTTGAATATTGACGTTATGTGACGCGCTGTAATATTTGTATGGGATGTTGTTATCCTCTAGCGATTTTATCTGCTTATGCAGGTTATTTATTACTTTCCCCCTCTTCATTTTCAGAAGGGGCGACGTGCGGAGCTAGTCAAGCGTCTCGTACATTAGACGAAGTGTGCTAACCCCTCACATACCTTTACCCCATATATACAGAAAATGGCTACTTAAAAAGGGGACAACGAAACAATGGTTAAATCGCAAACTTGTTTTCACATTGTGCAAAGGGAAGAGGGGCAAAGGATCGGATAGGCGTCTATCCAGTTCCAATTCAAAAGGGGAAAAAAAAAAAAAAAAAAAAAAAAACTCCAAAATGGGCAAGATTACCAAACGGCTCGCAGAGATCACCCAATATGTACAAACAATTTGCAAACCATGCGACGATTTTCACCCTTAGCAACAGCACGAATTGCCCATTTTTTATTAATTACAGTGCACACCTTTTTATTATCCTTCCAAATTTCATCTTCCTTAAGGAGTGGCACAAATGGGTAAAAAAAAAAAAAAAAAAAAAAAAAAAAAAAAAAAAAAAAAAAAAAA